AGGACTTTTTGACATTTTGAATAATATCTTTACTGAGCATGAAACACCTGGTAAGTAATCCATGAACAAAGGTCAGATGAAGGATACTCAACCTGTGTAATGAAAAGCACTTTGCCAATATGCTTAAAATGCAAATTACATAATGAATATATAATGCCAACTCATGGGTTCAGAATATGGAAAGTAACAAAATCAGAAGTTCACAAAGAGCAGTGAAAACGCTATGGATTGAGAGATATGAACAGGTTACTATGGACCTGAGAAGAAACTAAGATAAGAGATATCATAAAAGTGATTAAGCAACAAAAATAAAGGTTGACAGAATATATAGCAAGAAGAAAAGATAACAGATGGAGCAAAAGATTGGTTGAATGGTGCCCAATTGTTAGCATATGCAGTAGAAGAATATACAGAAGAATGAGAGATGAGATGTTTGCTATAAGACATGGCAGAAAATGGCTGTAAGTTCATAAACAATACTAAGCCCTTTGGATACTTTGTTTCTAGGAATACACAAATCCCTAAGATAAAGTTTCCTTTATAAATGAAGCACCATAAGAATAACAATGATAACTAATAATAGAAAAATTATAACAATATGTGCTAAGTTACATTTGTAGCTTACAGCCATATCAAATAATTCTTATCCAGTGACTGACATTAAGCAACATTGAGCCTGGTTAGTACCTAGAAGGGTGACCACTTGGGAATATCAGGAGCTGTAATGGATAACAACTCTGAATGCAAAATCAGAAATCCAAGTTTGAATTACACTTGGGTTCATTACATTCACTTATGCACAAATACCCTTAGGAAAGATATGAATCAATCACCTCTGCCCAGTTATGGGTTAAATAGTACAACATGTATCTGAAAATCATTAATACAATATTCACTACCCTCCCCTCAAAAAAAAATAACAATCTATAATACACTTGTACCTATGTATGGTGTGTGTGTTCTGCTTGGTATCACAAATACTGAGAGGGAAACAGAAAGATAGAGGGGCATAGTGAGTAAAACAGAAAGAAATAGAGGGATGTAAAGAGACAAAAAGAGAATACAGAGAGAGATTGGAGTGGGGGGGGTCATCTTAGATAAAATGCAGTTGTTAGTAATGAGTTAAATCATGTTTCATGACCTAATGATCTATCTAGCACATTTCATTATATTTAAGAGAGACTGTCACTTTTCTTATAACTATCTGGGAATGGACATAAGCTGAAATGTACAGTGTGTAGTATTAAAAAAAAAATATGAGTAAATCTGTGTAATTTACACTGGTCCTACTAGTTATTATTATTCTTACAGTCTAAAAATATCTTCCAGATTTAAATAACCTACAAAAGTTGATAAGTCAAAAAACAATCAAGCAAGAAGATACATTCTTATATACTTTTAAGATTAAACAGAACAGCCTGTAGGTTACCTGGATCGGCATATACCTGATGAAGGCCGGAAGGTATCATGGCCGAAACTTTGAGATAACAACAACAAAGATGCGTACAATAATCCACATGTAAATAAGAATGATACCAGTTTTCATTCTTTAGCCCAAACAGAAACCTCTTAGCTGTCAATCTTTTCCTCTATCCTTGGAACCATATATGCTGGTACAACTATCTTACATGGTAGTTAGTAACTGAAAATGTTAAGGTTATGTACTATTATCCTAAAATAGTTCTTGCATTGTTATTAGTTGTGGAATTTCTTTCATGTTTATATTTGGGACCTCCAACTACTACAACCCTACAATGAAGCTGAGAATCCTACTTCCTTGAAGTAGGACTCTTGTCTCAAAATAGTTATTTCTTGTTATTATTATCATTGACTGCAGTATTAATAGTAATACAAGCAGCAGAATTCTTTTAATGTTATTTATTATCATCATAAATCTGTTTGGAGGAGCGACTCATTCTTTGAACAGTTATGTTATCCACTAAAAAGTAAGTTCAGCATTATCATCTTAAGGATTTTTTAAAACCATTTTTATAGATTGTAGTAAAAGCATTACAGTCAGGCATGTTCATTCTTCCCTGAAGGAAGTCTCTTTCCATTCTAAATAATGCCATCATCATGATAATACTACTACTATTACTCATAAAAATTAGTAATATTTAAGTGAAGGAATTGTAGTAAAGTTAAGTGATAATGTTGTAAGATCTGCCATTTGTTATTTCTTCTCTTTCTTGACTATAATTTGCCTTCTATCTAATCATAGAAATTAGTTTAATTTAGTGGTACTGAATATTATTTTGTAATATCAGCAAACAGCTTAGAGAAGTGCTCCAAAAGGAAGGCAAAAAGTGTGAGTAATTCTTTTAAAATAATCCCTGTCTTTGTATACATTGCTAACATTCATAAGTTCTTTGTATTTATAGTGAATACTTCCTTTACATAAATGTTCCCTTTAGGATGAACTTTTTTTTTTTTTTTTTTCCTTTTTTTTCTTTTTTCTTTTTTCTTTTCCTTTTTTTTTTTCTTTTGTTTCTTTTCAAAGTTATTTGCTCTTGACACAAGCATCTTAGAGAAAGTCATGAAATAAGTTTATGCAATTTGTTTGGATTTTAACTAATCTAAAGTTTAAAGCATTTAGTAATTTGATTATCAAAGCTTTACTTTTTCTTTTCATTCTTTTCTTTTGAGATTTTTCCTTAATAAATAAAGTATTCTTTTCATTTATCATTGAAAAATTATCATTGTAAATTTGTTCTTAGAGAGGAATTATTTTTTAAGAATTGGTATAATTATAAATAATTGTTATAATATTGTGAGCCAAATAGAATTTAGTGTGTGATATATATATATATATATATATATACTTTTTTTTTTTTTTTGCTATATTTATGGGTTAAAGTGCTCAATATCAGAGATACTATATGTAAATATAAAAAAGTGGACAGTGAGCTCAACAGCAACAGTCTGTTACATGCCTCAACTCTATCTTCATTCCGTTTAAATATATATATATATATATATATATATATATATATAATCATATTTTTTCATTCAACCATCTTTTCTTTAAATAATGTTTCTTGTGTTATGTCTATTTATTTTTATTTTAATCCTTTCAAGTCCATTTTTCAATAAATTTCTTGGTACTTGTAGAAATTTATGTGAAAGAAAATTTGGGAAATTTTTCTTAATCAATTTTCTACAGCTACCAATAAGAAATTAATTCATGGACTTGAAAGGATTAAAACAAAAATAAATAGATATAACACATATAAAATTATTTAAAAAACATGTGGGTGTGTGTGTGTGTGTGTGTGTTTGTGTATGTATGTATGTATGTGTGTGTATATATATATATATATATATATATATATATATATATATATATATATATATATATTATCTGAGAGAGAGAGAGATAGATACATGAACCTATTCATGTATATAGCAATACAACTGTATATGTGTACTTAATCATGCAGTGTATAAGAATATTTTTTTAAAAGGCAAACATAGATATGAGTACATGCTTGGTTGTTTGCATTAATTTGACTGTATACAATTGTTGTCTCATTATGCTGCTCAACAGCTAATTATTTGAAAAATACATATTAACAAGTAGATACAAAATAAATTTTTAAAAAATATCCATACACAGGAGGTATTATGCAAAAGTTCAAGAAATTTGAATTTTCACAAAACCAAATTTGCAAGCTGCAGCAGCAGCACTCTTACATATTGCTAAGGGACTAAGTGAAAAAAGAATATTAGTAGCTTTTTTAATTGATTTCTTTTTAATGGTCAAATTCTTTCTTTATAAATTGTTCACATATATATCAGTGTCTTTTTCTGTCTCTCTTATTTAATTTATATAAATTTGTTTTGAAGATTTATGTGAAGTGAAGAAAGAAATAAACACCAAGACAGTCAAACATCAAATGACAAATATTTTCTGAATTAAAGGATTGCACAGCCTTCCAGTTAATAAATTAATGACAAGAAATAAATATTTTTCTGCCTTTCAACCAATGGGTCACATTCTCACCTACAAAAAAAAATTTGCTTCAAAATCCCTTTGAAGGGTATTTAAGCAAAGTTTCTAGATGGACAAACCAGTAAAAAGAGAGAAGATGTGGCAACAATTCCCTTTTCTCAACTTAAAAAAATTACCTTATTCATTTACCTGTCTTCTTCACAAGCTATAAAACACTTTACACTTTCCTCCTCACTTTCTCACACATACACATGAAGAAATCGCTTTTCTGTATTTCAGAAACTTTTTTCTGTAAGAACTTTAAATAAATATACACGCTAAGAAAAAAATTAATTGTAAAAAAAAAAGCATGAAAACAAAAAATACCTTATATTTTTATATTAAAACAACTTTTTTGCCTTTCTTTGTTGTAACATTGATTCAAATCTGCAACACACATGTTCAATCAACAGTAGAGGGTTAAGGGTGAAAAATCCTCTTCATCCTACAAACACACCTACATTTGTGCAATGGTGGTTCCTAAAACCCTACATGATAAATTTGTATAAATAAACTTGTTTTTACCAACATTTAAAGTATTCAGCTAAAAGGTTGTATCTTTACTAAGACTTGTAGTATGTTGAATTATATCATTATCAATATTTGTTAACATACTTTAGAACTGCAAAGTGTAATAATTTACTTCAGAACTGATCTCAGATAAGATCTAAAACTGATCTTCTCAGATTTAAACTCTCCTTTGCTTATCAACCTGTATATATTTTGACAGCCCATGGCTTTACAATAGTGAAAGAATGTAATGACTCTGAACACTATTCTCTTGAAAATGGGTGAATACTTATTTGGCGTTTTATTACACTCTATCTTGGTTTTAATGTTATTTATGATCTTGCATTATCAATATTAAATAATGAAACTGTTTTATTTCCATTATTTTTCTCTTTTTTTTTTAGTATCTATTTTAGATCATTCTATTCTTTTTAATTTAACTAACTGATATAAAGATATGCCTTTTTTTGATTAAAACTCTTTTTTTTTTTTTTTGTAGAACTTTTGTGTCGAGGAAATGTCCAATAAATTTAATGAATGCAAATCAGCCTTAGAAGATCTTCACACAAGGGTGAGTTTTTTGTGAATGGTTAAAAACCCTGCATTCCTGTATGGGTCTCCGTAGAAATACAGGATTGAAAAGAAAACACCCTCTTATGTACACTTTATTTTTTTTTATTTTATTAATGTTATTCACTAAATACTATATTTTTTTTTTTTTTTGTCTGCTGAAGACCATGATGGATCTGAAAAAATATACTAATAACAGTTAGTTATCTCCTGTTGATTATTTTTTTAGAATTTTAATCTTTCAAATTCAAGTCAAATTTCTTACATTCACTTATGTGCAAAATACCAACGGAAAGGTATGAATCCATCTCTTCTCTTTTAAACACTTGGTAAATAGCAGGACAGATTGGGTCTTATCACATTTGTTTGACAACCAGTCTAGATAAAAGAAAATTCTGAATTCAAACTAGTCCGAACAGGGTTGGGTTTTTTCAGACTATTTTGCCAAAGACACACCACTGTTGCTATGGCTGCAGTACATGTGGTGTCTCTATGACTGTAATGGGTTACAGGTGTTGTGATCATGATATAAGGTAAATATGATGTTAGTTGGTCCATTTAGTTATCAATATGCCTGAAAAATCAAATTCAGAATATTGTGCTTATTAAATATCTAAGGTTAAAATTCGTTACTCAACAGAAATGCATCCTGGGTATGACGATAAACTACATCTGTGTCCAAATAAAAAACATAAAAGCCTTAAAAGGAACATAAAATGGTGTTCCTAGGTTCATCTTGACCCGGGTTACTGCTATTCCATTTTAACTGGGGTAAAGGGCATTATGGAGGTGTAAAAATGGGTTTTAATTTTGAAATACTTTTAAAGAAGATTATTACCAGAAATAAATTTTGAAGAAAAAATATTACCAGCTATATGTTTTTGAAAAAATAATATTACCAGTTATACGTTTTTGAGAAAAAAAATATTAATAGAAATAGATTTTTGACTATTACCAGAAAAAAAAAAAATCATTAAATGACCCATTGAGGTTGATATCTATTCTACAAATCATCAGAAATAAAAATAATTTGTATCTATTCATGTAATATATGTGTATGTAGGTGGTGTAATGGTTAGAAAAACAAAAAATTGCAAGTGGAGTTTGAATTTCAGCCACATTTGTTACATTTACTATCATGCAAATATGCCTGGGAAAGGGTATAAGTTCATTTCTTTTTCCCACAGCTATTATTGCAAGAGGATAGCAAAATTATTTGCAAGTTTAATTAGTAACTAGGGTCTTTAATTTGCAGACCTAGTTACTATATTCTTAATATTATAATAAAAAAATATCACCATGATAAAATCGGTCAATAACTATTTATACTGGCACACAATTACAAGTAATAATAATATTTTAAATTTTGAAATTGTATTTTTTTTTTTGTCATGAATTTTATGAAACTTTTTCTAAATCTTTGATTGTCTTTCAATCATTCTGCTTTACTTGCTATCCTCTTTTGTCGCACCTATGAAGCATGCAACACTGTTTAGGAACCACTGATTTAATATAATATCCTTGGGAAAGGCATGAGTTTACTTTTCCCTGTACTCTTTTATCCTCTCAAAATGTTTTGTCACTGGTCAAGGGAAAAAGACTGGGTAAAGCACTTGGGTATGTGTTGTGTATGATACACCTAATTTACATAAGCGGACTACCGACCATATAAATATGGGTTGGTACCGGAAGACGGGGAAGATAGGAGAGATTAAGAAATTGAATCCAGAGACTCTGCCCGACTGCGATTTAGTCAACCCATTATGCAGGAACAGTCTTCCCAAGAATATACCAAACCAACTGTAAATATTGTGTACCTATTCTTTGTTTCAATACATTTTGTTAACGTACATTTTGTGTTGTATTATTCCATGCTTATTTAAGCTTCAACAATGGCGACGAGGTATAAAAGAACTTTACGTTTGAAAAAAAAAATTAATAATTGATAGCCTTCAATAATTGGGACAAGTGGAAGAACCCAGGCTGGGAAAAAAAAAAAAAAATCATTAATTAAAAAGTCGAACATCTAATGGAACGGAAAAGTATTCTGAAGTTTGGACAGTTAAAACTAGTTAAAGGACGACTAAGCTTAAAGGAACGTACACTCAGAAAAATCTGGAAGGTGGCGTAAACAAATAACGGCGAAAAAAAAAAAAAAATGCTGGCCGACTAAAAAAGAAAAAAAAAAATGCTGGCCGACTAAAAAAAAAAAACATGCATGGAATTAAAAGGAGCACAAATACCACGTGTCGACTTTGAAAGGTAAGCGAACTTGTAAAAAAAAAAAAAAATTTGTTATTTTTTGTTTGTTTGGTTGCTCAACAATATTTTATAAAGCAAGACATAAAATTAAAAAAGGCGTATGTTGTTTCAATTTTGTTTTGTCTGCTTATAGTATATTCGTGGATACACAATTTAAAAAGTATATTCTTTGTTGCATGAACACTATCAGTTAAAATGGAGGAATTATCCAAAGTCATAGCTGAATTGTTTAAAGCCCAGCAGTTGAGTCAAGCTGAATTATTCAAATCCCAGCAGTTGAGTCTGCAACAACAAAGTGAACAGGTTGCCTTATTAAGAGAACAACAATTAGCACAGCAGAATTATCAAGAAAGGCAAGAGGAGTTGAGTCAGCAACGTCAAAGGGAACAGGAAGAAATGTATGTCAAGGTTTTGGAAATTCAAAAGTTAACATTGGAGAAATTAAACAACAATCAGGCAAATGAAAGTAACTCTTCATATTCTAATAACATCATATTTAATTCGTTGGAAACTTTCAACTATGTGCCAGACGAAGGAAAAACGTTTGAAGCGTACTTTAAACGATATGAAGATATTTTCCACACAGACTGTGAAAACTGGTCGAATTCAAGAAAAGTCAGTCTATTACTAAGAAAGCTAGGTACAGCAGAACATAGCAAATTTGTAGATTTTATTCTACCGAGAAGAACAAATGAATTGGAATTCTCGGAAACAGTGAAATTGCTAAAGGAGTTGTTTGGAGCAAATATGTCGCTTTGGCATAGCGATGGTTATGCACATGAATGTCGCTAAATCCGACGATCAGGATTACTTAACTTATGCATCTATAGTGAATAGACATTGTGACAATTTCAGATTGGCAGAGATTACGGTTGAAGAATTCAAGTGTTTAATTTTTGCTCAAGGACTGGTATTCAGTAAAAGTGCCGAAATAAGACGTAGAGTTTTGTCTAAACTCGAATCTGAACAAAACCTTACCCTGCAAAAGTTAGCAGAGGAGTGTCAGCGGGCCGTAAGTTTAAAGAAAGAGTCTCAAAAAATTGAAGAAGCTGGTATTGCTTATATTAAAAAAAGTGAAGAAACAGTCAAATTACCCATCAGAAAAAAAAAATTGGATTAAAAATTCGGCGTATTTTAAAAATAAACAAGAAAAATTAAATGGAAAAAATGAGGAGGGAAAAAAAATGGTTCCGCCATTTAATTGTAGACGGTGCAACGGAAGACACTGGGAGTTAAATTGCCCATATAGAAATAAAAAATGTTTCGTGTGCCACAAGAATGGTCACAAAGGGTCGTGTTGTAAAACGAAAAAAGTCAATAGCCGAATTAGACAAACAAATTCAAATATCAAATCAGATAGAGATTTGAGGAAGTATGTGACGACTGAAATATTTAAAAAGAATATCAAATTTCAACTCGATTCGGGTTCAGATTTAACAATAATGAACTATAAAACATGGAAAATTTTAAAAAGGCCTACAATAATGAAGTCAACGAAACGCGCTCGAACAGTGACTGGAAAGGAAATTAAATTCGAAGGCGAGGTTGTACTTCCTATGAAATTGAACGGGATAGTTAAAAAAATAAAAGTTTTCATTCTGAAAAATGGAGAAAACTTGATGGGTACAGATTTTATTGAAACATTCGAATTGTGGGATAAACCGTTAAACTCTTTCTGCAGAAAAGTAGAAAGTAATACGCAAACAAGACAGGACATTATTGAGGAATTAAAAAAAAAGTTTCCGGAAACTTTCACACCTGGTCTTGGAAGATGTAACAAGTTTGAAGCCAAATTCGAATTAAAGGAAAATACTATGCCAATTTTTAAAAAGAAACGTACTGTGCCTTTCGCAAGTGTAGAGAAAATTAACGAAGAACTTGATAGGTTGGAAAAAATGGGAATTATTTCGAAAGTAGAATCTAATTCATGGGCTGCGCCCGATTGTGTGCATAAAAAAGAAATCAAACCAAGTCAGAGTCTGCGTTGATTTTTTCGACAGGGTTGAACTCGGTAATTAAGGACTACCATTACCCGTTACCGAGTCCGGAGGAGAATTTTAACAAGCTAAATGGTGGAGTTATATTTTCAAAAATTGACTTATCAGATGCCTATCTCCAAATTCCCGTCGAAGAGGAATGTTCGAAGTTACTAGGGATAAACACGCATAGAGGGTTATTCAAGTACAACAGGCTTCCTTTTGGTATTAAAGTGGCACCTGCCATTTTTCAACAAGCTATGGACGTCATGCTGAATGATTTAGACTTTGCGTGCGCTTACTTAGACGACATCATAGTAAGGAGCGAATCGGTCGACGAACATCGAGAGCATCTCAATCAAGTATTTAAAAAAATTCAGGACTTTGGATTTAAAGTCAAAGAGTCAAAGTGCGAATTTGGTTTGGAGGAAATTAAGTATTTAGGGCACATAATCAACAAAAATGGCAGATGTCCAGATCCGAAAGGTCCATTGCGATTAGAGACATGCCGACGCCCACTAATGTGGCGATGCTACAAAAGTTTTCTAGGGCTTGCAAATTATTATCAAGCGCTCATTAAAGGAATGTACAATTTAAGAGCTCCGTTGAATGAACTGCTAAAAAAAAGACAAGGCATGGGAATGGACGGTAGAATGTCAGAAAGCCTTTGATGAAATAAAGAAAATGCTTACGTCCGACCTCTTTTTAACCCATTACAAAACCAAAACTGGATATTGTAGTGGCAAGTGACGCTAGTTCATACGGGATAGGAGCGTGTATTCAACACATAATGCCAGATGGTTCTAGAAAACCAATTGCACACGCTTCGAGAACTTTGCTCCCAGGAGAAAGAAGTTACTCTCAGATAGAAAAAGAGGCACTGAGTATCATTTTTGCCATACAAAAAATTTCACAGGTACATCCACGGCAGACATTTTATCCTTGAAACGGATCATAAACCACTGATCACCATTTTTGGTTCAAAGAAAGGGTTACCCGTTTATACAGCAAATCGTCTGTTAAGATGGGGAACCATTCTTCTCAATTATGATTTTCACATAAAGCACCTATCATCCAAAAAAAATATAATTCATGCGGATAGTCTATCAAGACTAGTACCAAGGCAAGAAGAAAAAGATTCAAAGAATCAATTATTGCAAATATCAGAGCAGATTATGAGGTGAAAAGCATGGTAAACAACATTGTAAGAGAGCTACCGGTTACGCTAAATGAAATTAAAAAAAGAAGCTGAAAGCGATGATTTCATTTTAGAAATTAAAAAGCAAAATGGTAGCAAATGACCAAAAAGTGCAGGAGATTTTTTCAATAGGTGATGGAGTTTTATTATATGGTGAGAGAGTAGTAATACCAAAAAAGTTGCAGAAAAGAATACTTCGGGACTTTCATATGGGTCACCCGGGTATTAATAGAACAAAAAGCTTAATGCGAAGCTTTGTGTATTGGAAAGGAATGGATGTGGATATCGAAAACATGGTTCATCGATGTAAGGGGTGTGCGTTAGCAGCTAAGGCACCACCTATAGTACACAAACCATGGCCCAAGACGGATCATCCGTGGACAAGATTACACATTGATTTCGCTGGTCCAGTAGAAGATTTTTACTACTTAATAGTGGTAGATAGTTTTACAAAATGGCCGGAAGTACTACGCTGTAAAAAGCCTACGTCCAATACCACAACAACTTTTTTGCATGAACTATTTGCACGGTTCGGTGTGCCAGAGTGTATTGTGAGTGACAATGGTACACAATTCACTTCTGAAGAATTTAAGGAATTTTGTGAGTTATATCAAATTAACCACATAACGACGCCTCCGTATCATCCGAGGTCTAATGGACTCGCAGAAAGATTTGTCGATACTTTAAAACGAGCTCTGAAGAAAGCCTCAGGAGTTCCAACGGAAAAGGCGCTTCAGCAATTCTTACAAGTATACAGAATCACGCCAAACCAGAGAACACATTCAAACATGGCACCAGCTGAACTAATGTTCGCTAGGAAAGTTAAGTCAGTGTTTGACAAGCTTTTGCCAGGAAAAAATACAGTAAAAAAATACCATGTATACAGCGAGAAAAAGATACACTCCCGGAGAGAAGGTGTTTTTCAAGTGCTATAAAAACAACGTTGAGTTCTGGGAACGAGGCATAGTGGACAAGAGAATCGGTGACCTGATTTACATAATTAAAGGGCGAAGAATACTTATAAAAGGCACCAAAACCAACTTAAAAAGATTACGGTATAGAGCAAGAAGAGTGTATACCGGATGAGGACGAAAGATCCCATTGATATAATGTATGATATGTTTCAGGTAGAACCTCCACAGAATACACCTGAACCAAGAAGATCCGGTAGGAAACGGAAGTTGACGGACCCATTGAACGTGAATCCAAAACGAAAAAAATATTAAAATTAGGCAAATGGATCTACAAAGAAATAGCCATAATCATCAACCCATATAGGAAGCCAGTTTGAAATCCAAAAGGGATTCCAAGGCTTGGGAGGAGGGTGTTGTGTATGATACACCTAATTTACATAAGCGGACTACCGACCATATAAATATGGGTTGGTACCGGAAGACGGGGAAGATAGGAGATTAAGAAATTGAATCCAGAGACTCTGCCCGACTGCGATTTAGTCAACCCATTATGCAGGAACAGTCTTCCCAAGAATATACCAAACTAACTGTAAATATTGTGTACCTATTCTTTGTTTCAACATTTTGTTAACGACATTTTGTGTTGTATTATTCCTTTATTCTTTACAACAGTATGTTTTTTCTGATAATTATGAAACAAATATTGCAAAAGACTTTTTACTACTGAATTAAATTCACTGTTATTAGATCAAATTTTGTGTTTCTGATAATTATTCGTCTATAATATTGAAAACTATGGTAAAGAAAGGAAAACATGGAATTCATCAGGTTTAAATGATTGAATTTCAATCAAATTTTAATTGTATTCTTTTCCATCTCAATTTAAATTATCTAAAATCAAGATGTTTTTTGATAATATTTTAACAGGTTCTTTAGATGGGATTCAAAGTCTGTTTAGAATAGTCTTTATATAACAATAAATGCTTGTTTAATATAATGCTCCTTAGCTAGCATTAAAATGCCAAATGTTTTTAAATTGTTCTTCCAGGCTCAAGAGTTCCTCAAAAACTATGGTATCAAGGACCAAGGAGGACATGGAGATTACACAGAGATTGATTTTGAAATGATGAAAACGGCACCTTTCTTGCAATCAGCACCACAGCAGCCGATTCCTGAAGCAATATTTGAGGTGAGACATATACATATACTTAGTCTTGTAATTTGTACCATTTCTGATTATCTAAAATCATGATGTGTCAGGTTAGTTGTTGGAACACTAAAAACAGGTGAAATGTTTGTCAATCCTCACCAGAGAACAAAAAAAATCTTTCTCTTTCCAAAGAACAGGAATGAAGAAGACAGAATATGCAATGTCAATCATTATCTTCTGTCTTCTTAATTCCTGTCCTTTTATTTGTTTTCTCTCCATAATAATATTTTTTTCACATATTCTCTCACACTCGGTAACCCCCTTGTGTCTTAGTGGCTTCATTGCCTTGCTTGGAGTGAAATGATTAAAAACAAAAAGATGTAGATGCTCACAGTCTAGATATTTTCTCCAAGAATATTTCATTCAACATCCTATAATTTCAGAGTGAATATATATAATTTTTGATGCAATAACTGATATAAGGTGAATGTATCTTTACAACTAATTTTAGTTTACTACAATTAACCACTTGCTAAATAACGGTAACATGTAAAATATTTTTGCTTAGAATAATACTAATCAGGTAAGAAGCAACTCTGCTGCAATAATGTGTAACGGAGGTTGATATTAATGACAGAAATTAGTACAATGATAACAACAATAAAAACTTGAGACATATGTTGACAAATAACAAGAATTTGTAATTTCTTTTTATGATATGAATTACAGAATATTGGTATGTCGTGTGTAAAAATAAAATGTTCTCAGTGTCTCTTTTGTTTAAAAGTCAGTGCTTACTTGGTTTGGTTCTAAGAATTTCATTTGTTAGGATCGCATTTGACATCTCTGTTTTTGATTTTCACAGAGCATTAGTTAGATGTGTGTTTCTGTACTGCTACTCATCACTGACCACTGCTACAGGTCCCTAGTTTAATCTACTGACTCACTTGTGGTGGAAGGGTTGTTCTTATAATGATGAGGGTCAGGATGGTGAAATACCCTTCTTTTCTATCATCAATGATGACAAGGTCATTTTTAGAATGATGAAATATCATCATCATTCTAGACAATAACTAATGTAAGCTTCAATTGGACAAATACAACAAAATGTGAAAAGGACTTTTACTACAGATTTCTTTTTTCAATTTCACTATAAAAAATATGGTAACCTATTTTGTTAGCATAATTCACTGACTTTTAATACCAGTCTCTTTTTGCAAACCAATTTTTCTAGTCAGTTTTATTTTTCACTATTTGACATTTTTTTCTTTAAGGTGCGAGCGGTGAAGCATGGCAAACCCATGGGCCGAGTGACCCTAAAAGTGGACGTACAAACTGGACGTTTGTTTGCAGTGAAGCCTTCCAAAGATATTTTGGATGCTAGCAACACATTTTCACACGATAAAAGTAAGTTAACTTCTTAAAGTCTTATCTTGGAAACATTATATATAAAAGGTTTACTCAAGATCAATATCTTGTCATCAGTTTCAAGTATTATATACATCTTTGTTCATTTTTACCTTAAATGATGTTCGATATGTCTCGAAGTAGCAAAGTGGTTTTGGACTACTGTAACCGAGTAGGACAATCTAGCAGGTAACCGTAATGGACTGGTCCTCGTTGTAGTGGTAAGCAATAGACTATGTACTGCCACATCAGTCTGTAGTTATGGCTGACACCAGCCAATCATATTACTGTGTGGGGGAACCAGGTGTATGCATATTCATTACATCAATGTTAAATAGTGAATTGATACAAAAAACATTAAAATTACTCTAAAAATCAGTAAATATTTTTAATTTGTGCTTTCATAAATATATTTCATGATTTTTAGAGTAATGTGTGTAGAATTTAAAATCCAATCTTTCTTTCATCCTCCTTGTAAGTTTTATAATTTATCTCTTTAATTTGATCAGTACAAATCTAAAAATATACTTGAGTTCATTTTTAACCAAGTGACCACTTACTAATTAATAGTCATCAATTCTAAGAGCATTTTTTTTTTCTCCTAAAATGCCTTTTTCTTCAGATTTTTTGTTGATCTGTCATATTACAAATTAAATATATTTAGTGATTTTTAGAGTAATACATGTAGAATTTAAAATCCAATTATCTTTCAATTTATCTTCCTTTTAAGTTTCATAATTTATCTCTTTAATTTAGGTACCTCCACTAATTTGTGATACCTAAGGTTTAAAATGAATTTTAAAGATTAAAAGGCTTTCCTAAAGCTTTTATTTTAGTTTTAATTGAAAACTAAATGATTAAATTTACCATTTCTAGTAAGCAAAATAATCTGTAATGTATTTCAAATAGAAATTATATTGATTTGAATTGATTCCCATTTTTTTGGTAAAAATAGCTGATTAGCACCCTTTTTTAGTCGTCTGTTACTACTATGTAATTTTCTTGATTAAAAAATCTTCCAAAAATAAAACATTTTTCTGAAACTTTATTTGAGGACTATTAGCTGACTTTTAATGTTACATATCTTTTTGCAAACCAATTTTCTAGTCAGTTTTATTTTTCACTATTTGACAATTTTTTCTTTAAGGTGCAAGCTGTAAAGCATAATTAATCTGATTTGAAATAAAAATTATTTACTTTAAGTTTAACATAACAGAGAACTGGATTTTAAGAACAAACAGTATCATGATTATGTACTTATGTTATTGATGAGTGATGACAAGTACTGATAACGGTGTTAACATTTTGTTTGTTATTTTCCAGAGACTATATTTGTTAAAACATAATTTAAGAAAATAAAGGGTGAATACCTTTTTTGTATAATTTTTAAGTATTCAGTAATCTTAAAAATGTTGGAAAATATTCTAATCTAATTTTAGGGATGTTGACTTTAAATTTGCTATCGTTATCAATCTTATTTTCTGATAGAGTTGTGTACGGTCACCCATACTTTCAAAATGGGCCCGTTTGTACACAAAAAAAGTTAAAAATTATTTTAAAAATCTTAGTGTGTGATGATCTGTATTAAGCTTTTCACTTAATAACAATATCATGTAATGTGATGAAAGTTTTGAAGAATTTTAAAAATATTTTTGAAACTTTATAAATTATTATAATTAAAAAAAATTAAAACAATTGTAAAAATTTATTATTCACAAAAAAAAATTTTTCTTAAGACTATAATGTCCTTAATATGGATTATTTACATTCTCCAATGAGTCCTGCTTTTAACTAATAAAACAAAGTCTGCGGTCAGAATTCAATTTCTCAAAATTTCATTGAAATTAAGTAAGTGGGAAGTAACTTATGTAAAAAAAAGAAATATTTTTACCAAGATTTTCTAAAAATAGTAATTTCAAAAATAATCTAATTAATTTATGAATAAGTCCTGTAAGTTTTATAAAATCTGACAATTATTTGACTTTACAAGAATTTCCAAATTAATGTATTATTTTACCAGAAAAAAGGCATTAAAATTTTCATAGTCAGCTTTATTACACCACTGATGCAAAAAAAACCCCAGATTTTTAACCAAAATTTTGAACGTGCTAGAAAGGATTAAAAAATTTAATAAAATAATAAAAAATTATTTGGTATTTCCTCTTAATGATAACATAAACATTTTGATGATATAACTTTGTTTTTATTAACTTTGTGGCCATTTTTCATCATGCTATGCTGTTTTTTCAGCAAAAAAGTGGAGGTACCTACTTTAATTTGATAAATGCAAATCCAGAAAGTATACTTTAGTTCATTTTTAACCAAATGACCAGTTAACTAATTAATAGTCATCAATTCAAAGAACAGTTTCTTTCTTAATATTTTTTGTTGATCTATAATATTTTCATCTTAATTAATCTAATATTAATAGTAATCTTTATGGTCTGTATATATAAGGATGATGATAAAGAAAGCTTTCAAACTTAACCTGTACTGAAATTCTTAACCCATATAATTGTCAGTGTCCCCAGAATTCATTAAAGCTTGAATTTTTTCCCCTTTAGAAATTTTTTAATGAATGTAATTTTTTTTCTCCAGTTTTGCAATTAGTGAAAAAATCAACAGATAATTGTCGACTAGACATTGTGATAGAGGGAAAGAAGAATTTTGCCTACCAGTTTGAAAGTGTCCATGCACGAGAAAATTTTTGCCAGCACATATGTCAGATGAAGAGCATGCACTCAACAGCAGAAGAGATTGACCAAATCTCAATATTTATTGGAACGTGGAATATGGGTAAGCACCATCTTGGAGAATCAGTTATTTTCAAATTCTTATATATCGGCTTTGTAGAAGACTCATCTGATGTTTCAGTGAACTCGTGCTGAAATTGCTTTTCTATGTGGAAAAGGTGAATAATTTTACCAAATAACTTTTACATACATATATGCATATGCGTGTATATGCACATGTGTGTGTTTTATATATATATATATGTCTTACTTACATTTACAATTTACAAAACAGGTCAGGCCCTGTACAGTTTGCTATATCTGCAATAAGCATTTCAGGTCACTTGCTGGCATCAAGAGCTATTGTTGTTCTCACAAGAACTTGTCAACAATGTTCAAACATATTTAATGAGTTGACAGCCAACATGGACATTTGTGTGTGCATATATGTCTGTGTAATATATATATATATGTGTATGTATGTGTGTGTGTGTGTGTGTGTGTGTGTATATATATATATATATATATATATATATAATGATAAAATGTAGTTTTAATGTATGCTATATTTATGGTATACAGTGCTCAATATCAGGAATAAAGCATATGTAAATATAAAAGTTGGCATTGAGGTCAACACCCAGCAGTTACATGGTCTGAAGATTGTGCTTAATCATTAAACAGGCTGTCACTGCTATATATAGGATTATAGGAGGCAAGACCTCATGTTTGTCTCAGCGTAGGAATAAATTTGTGAATAAAGAATGATGGTGTGGGATAAATTTAAAGTTGCCACTCAACTGCCTCAATTCCTTTGACGCATACATACCTTCTGAATAGCATGCCTTATATGCTAATGATTTCTTAACTACGATTTCTTTTCCAACCTCCTCTGACCACTCCCCTTGCTTTGCAGTATATACTATCAGCCACATAATAGCTATCTAATTGCATAACTGAATGTCCTTTTCAAATGCCTGATGATTCTGCGACTCAGTCAATTATGCAATTTCTGTGGTAGACCAGTTGCTATACCCAGTCTATCCTGCTATTTACCCATAGCTTGGTGGGGGGAAGAAGTGGATTCATATCGTTCCCAAGGGTATTAGCACATAAATGAATGTAATGGATTTGACTTGCAGGAAATTAGTCGTGACCTGGCATCTTGGCTTAAGCAGTTTTCAACAACCGTAACATAGCTTCCCAGTGTCTTTTGGGAAATATTTTCATAGTAATGGTTCTGATGAGCTCTCCTGTCTTAATCTCAACTTTATGAATTTAAAGGCAGTACTAGATTGGCAGCTTGGTCTCTTTATTTTTCAGTTGAAATTGTTAGATGTAACCATAAGTTCTATACTAACAGTTTCTTCTCTCACACTTCTCCCTTGTGGAACACTCTTCTGCCTTCTTGCTTTCCAGTCAACTTTGTTCTTCAAAAATTTAAATGCAGTGTCAATTGTTGTCATCTGTCTCCTTAATTCCTGTTCTTTTATTGTGCTCTCTCTTTAATAGTGTTTTCTTCTAAGATTTTTTTCACCTCTTGCATCTTTGTGGTGTTATCACCTTGCCTGGGGTGAAATGATTACACACACACATATATTTAGGCCCCACATCCTTGATAAAATATGATTTATTAAATGATACAATACAATTTCTGGCAAATATCAAGACAAGATGTTCTACCCTTTTACATTTTTTTTTTTTAACATTTCTTCCAGGATATCAAAATATTCTAACATGCAAAATTCTGAAATATTTTAACAGAAGTTTGTCCAGATAATATAAATATAATAACAATTTCAAACTTCATAAAATATTACAGCTTAATTATGATAGCAGTAAAAACTACTTAAATTTCTCAGCATTTACAATATTTTATTATATCATTGTATTTCCTTTCTTTAGGAACTTGTCATAAAATTAACACAAAAAATAAGTAAAGAATGGCTATATTACTGAAAGAATTAGAAATTAGCTTTTGAATAATTCTTTGTTAGGCAAACAAATGACAAAGTGGAAAATATTTTCATTGGTAATATTTTTACTGGTCAACACACGGCCTCCAATTACCATCACCCAGGTCACTCCACTCTCACCACTAAATTTTGACCAAACAGGATGCCACCTTTATCTCACAAGATAAATGTATGCCTACTTACTATTTATTATGAGGTTAAGTAAAGTAGAAGTAAATACAGTCTCTGGTTTTTTGGATAAACATTAATCTTCCATATAAACTTTCAGTACAAGTCCCAGAGATTTTTTTTGCATAAAAATGGTGGGGGTAATAGGTTTTCTATACCATGAAATATGCTAATAGTTTTCTTTCTTTTCTTTTTTTTTAATCATTTCACCCTAAGTAAGGCAATAATGCCACTAAGATGCAAGGGTTACTGATAGTGGAAGAGACTGAGAGTTTAGTAAGAAGAAAGGATAATAAAAGAACAGAATTTAGGAAAATGGAACATGGTGATTGACATTGCATTTAAATTTTTGAAAATTGTAGAAAAGTGCAAGAAAAACTATTAGAATAGAACTTACATTTACATCAGGCTATTTCAAATGAAGAGACCTAGCTGCCAATCTAGTAACTACATTTAAATTCATGCAATCAAGATATCAAGGAGGAGAGTTCATTAGAACAAATGCCATTAAAATATTTATAGAAAAGACACAGAGAAATCACATCACATCACAGCAATGGGAAAGTGACTGAAATCGAGTTGCCAGCTCAGGACTGATAACATTGCAGACCATTTTTTGGATTTTCTTGAGAATCTCGAGATATATAACCAGAAAACCAGACCGGATATGGCAACACTATTCAATGCACGGACGAATGGCAAATTTATGAATGGGCAAGACAGATTCTGTCGAGAAAATTGTCTGACACAACACGGTGAACCAACCTTCTTAGCAGCAGACCTAGCAAGTTATTCAATATAATCGCAGCAGACCTAGCAAGTTATTCAATATAATCACTCCACTTCATGTCAGTGGAAAACGTGAGACAAAGAAGGTGCAATGAGTTGCTCTTTTGATGATTAGCATCAGCCATGCTGATGGAGGGAAAAAATGCTTCTCTATGATGATTAAAGGATAGCAGTTTCATTTTGGAGATGTTATAATTTACAAGCCATTTCTTGCCTCAGTTAACAACTGATTAGAGGCCATTTTCACGTGCAGTTGTCAGTTTTATTTTGTTGAACCTATCGGACTTAATATTAACACAGGTGTAAATAGTTGTGTTATCAGCATAAAAACCTACTTGGGAACAGATGACATTGGGAAGGTCATTGATGAAGATAAAGAAACAATATAGGTCCAGTGATAGAGCCCTGGGAGACCCCTGAATTAATGTGAAATGATCTCTGGCTGTTCAACATGATCTTCATTACTTGTTAAAAATAATTGAATAAGTCAAATATCCAGCCTGAAACACCATAGCCCTTGAGCTTGTGGAGAAGGCCAGCATGCCAAACCCTGTCAACCACCTTTGAGATATGTAAAGCCTGAATCTTGCCATTATTTCTATTCTTTTTTCTTTGCAGGCAATGCTCCATTTACTGAAAGTTTGAGTAGTTGGGTGCGATGCCAGGGTGCTGGCAAGATTCGAGAACCACTTGTGATGGGGGTGATCCCTCATGATCTCTATGTCTTTGGAACGCAAGAAAGTTCCTTGACAGAAAAGGACTGGGTCAACTGCTTGAAAGCCCAACTCCGGATCTCTTTATCAATTGTTCCGGAAGTTGTAAGTATTTTATTTATGTACATAGTAAAATAACTGAAGTGGTGCTGAAAAGTTCTTGGCTGATCTAATTTTTTTTTTTTTTTTTTTATTTGTCATTAGTTTATTTTATTCTGTATTGTTTATCTAATCATATTATTTTCACCTGTATAACTACTTTTTGTACTGTATTATTATTAACTGAATTTTGTATAATATATTAGTGTGTCCAGAAATTTATCTATTTCTTTTTCTCTTCAGGTATGTTGCTGTTCATTGTGGGGTATCCGTCTTGTAATAATGACAAAACCTGAACATCAACACAGAATTAGTCACCTGGAACACAGCAGTGTGAAAACAGGAATTGCCAATGCTTTGGGTAAGGAGAATCCTTATTTGTTTTTGTCTTTTGAAAAATGGCAACTTTACACTGAAGTCACTGAAATGCTTTCTTTCGCAAGGGAGGTAATTCTCTTATATGTTGATAATTATATACCACCAAATGAAATCTCTCTCACAATCTTTAATAGAGATTAGTTAAAAGTTAAAATGATCCATCAAACTTTATCTCCCATATCTCAGCCTGACTAAGGACATAGTGTAGTCAGTCATTTTCCATACTATGAAATGCAATCTAGTATGACTGTTAGAAAAACTTTGAATTTCTTTACAATATCAATTACAACTTGCCAGCTCATATAATTTCACCTTTCAGTTCATCAGGCTGCATTCGTACCTTGATGAATCAAAAAATAACAATGTGTGTGTGTGTGTGTATATATATATATATTAAAATAATCGGAAAGAACAATGAGATTTATAATTCAGAGTTCTTAGCATTTATTTTTATTTTAAAAAAAACGGCTCTTGATACAACAGTAGAGCATAATATATAATATTTTTATATATATATATATATATATATATATATATATATATATAATACTGGTATCTTTACCACCATATCTAAGATAATCGGGGGTTATAATTAGGAAGAAAAATAATTTCCACATTAATTCAAGTGCTGGTAATTATCAAATAAATTGTTTACAATGCAAAAATGTTTATGAAGGAAAGACATTACATGATCTAAATGCCTATATTTATGAACACAAAAGAATTTTACATTTAGACTGCCATTCAAACTCTCTTGTAAATACATAGGGACAAAATTCACCATAACTTTGATTTTACCAATGCCACCCCAATTTTAAAAAAGAATATAATTTTTTAAGGAGAAAATACTTTCATAATTTAATAATAACATACATCACAAATATATTACATTGATAACCTTTATTGAATACATACAAAATAGACTGTACAAAATATCTACTAATGCACATTGGCGAAGCATCCAGAAACCTCAAAAAAGATAATATGAACACCACAGAGATATTCTGCATAAAAACAATTTAAATGCACTGGCGGTTCACAATAATATGTTTGCTCACAGTTTTCATTTAAAAAATGCCAGCTTAATCAGGAGAGAACAGAATTCACTGAGAAGAAAATGCTTTAAGAGTGTGTTAATCTCACAATTCTTGATGGTGAATCTAAGACTGGGGTCATACATGATTTCACCGTCCGTCACAAAAGCAATAATAGCACATTATGGGATACAAATTAGCGGATTAAAGAGCAAACACCTACTTGGAGTTGGCTGATTTAAAGTTGTGCATGTGTAAGAAAACAAACCAGGCATCTCAATGCAACCCACAATATCAGAAAAACAACACATCCCACAAACTATATATAATTATGTGACAAAAAGAAAAAAAGCATTTTATTATTATATTCTGCTCTCATCAAAATATCCTTCTTTAGCCTTGATTACTGCAGCACAAATTTTTGGCATTCATTGCAAAAGTTGCTCAAAGTATAAGTTTGATAATTGATTCAATTTTTTTTTCAATGATTCTAAGAGCTCTTTTTCATTTTTTTCACTCTTCTGTCAGGTTCATCCCATGTTTCAAATTTTTGAACTGTAGTGTATATATATTATATTATTTACTTCCAAAAGCTGAAATGAAAAATGAAAAGAAATTCACACGTTTTTTACGGACCTCATCAAGTATACGCAAAGTTGAGGAAGTGAGGTGGGAGAGAGGATATGAGTGTGTCATATGTATCATTTCAGTTTCCTATTTTAACCCCAGTGTGTTGGCTGGATGTTGCTCAAATTTAACACGTCTTGTCTCTAGATAAAGGTGGTTAAGGGGTGAGCGATAAGAACTACATTAAAGGGAGACGTTACAATAACCCCAATAAATTACACAACAGGTTTCATTCAAATTCTTAGACGCTGTCAGTTCGCGTTACTTTAACGTGCATATTTGGGAGGTTAAGGTTTGATAAATATCTAAATTTTCAAACACTCTACGAAGAAATTAATTTGAAATTCGGTGGAGTTTTGGGTATTTTCTATGAAGCAGTCGATTGGAAAAATCCATAGACAGAACATTGAAAGAGTAATCCAATTTATATTTAGTACTTTTTTCCACTATGTGTGTGTGTGTGTATATATTTATTATCAAAAATATGATGTGTATATGCATGAATGTGTATTTGTGTGTGTGTGTGTGTGTGTATATATTTATTATCAAAAATATGATGTGTATATGCATGAATGTGTATTTGTGTATGTGTGTATATATTTATTTTCAAAAATATGATGTGTATATGCATGAATGTGTATTTGTGTGTGTGTGTGTGTATATATTTATTATCAAAAATATGATGTGTATATGCATGAATGTGTATTTGTGTTATGATATGTATTGATGGGCATGTATATGTATACAGGTATATGAAAAATAAAAATGTCTCCAACACATATGTTAGGTGAATGTATATGTGGACACACCTACGTAAGAATGTATATATGTATGTGTGTATGGTTGTATGTGGGTATATATGTATATACAGATAAAACAAACAAGCACATACAGGCTCTCTTCAAATGTCAAGCAGGAACATGCACATAAGCCAGAGCAATTAATGTGATTTTTGACACTGAACATATCCTCAGAGACCCCCAAAACATTCTTCTAACACATAATTTTGTCTTTCTGCTTTTAGTTGAACTGATAACAACAAAGAGAACATAAGCTAAGCTTTTCTCTGGTAAAACACATCTTTTATTCAAAATTTTCCACTTTGTCTCACATATATGCCACAAAATCTCAGTGTTGATACAACCAACAGAAATTCTGCTAGGTTGCCAAAAGAAAACTTAATAAAAAGAAATAAACTAACAACAAATAAACCAAAATCCAAGAAAAGAAAGCAATACAAGAAAACAGGAAAATGAAACATAAACTAAGGAAAAAAGAGCAAGCAACAAACACATTAAACATTAACCAACAGTACTCTGTCTAGGTTATCAAGGCTGCAAAAATGCTTCAAGGCATCACACTTCAAAAAGCTTCAGAGTGCTACTTAAGTTTCATGCTACCACAATCATCAGGCAAACAGAGCACAAATGAAAAAAAGAACAGAATATTTATACTAATGTAATACAAGGAAACAAAGAGAAAATAACCTGTGAACATTATTCAGTATATATATATATATATATATATATATATATATATATATATATATATATATACACTAGAACAATATTAGTCTGGGCATAATTTTGATTTAAAAAATGTTACTTCAATTAAAAGAAATAGTAATTTACTAAAACAAGAATGTATAGAATGTGCTTTAATTGCTAAATCATCCACACTAAATTTGTATCTAGGTTCTTACATTTCACCTATTGTTCTACCCATCAACTCTCTCAGAACTACAACTGTAAATAATTTATCTCAACTCAAAATGAAATTTGTCACAATTACATCTAAAACAATAAAATACTTAATTAATACAAAACAAAATAATAAGCTAAAACTTGAAGGAAAAATTTTCTCATTACTTGTAATAATTGCCACAAGGATTACATTGGAGAAACCTCAAGGAATTTAAATAAAAGATTATATGAACACAAAGGGTATCTTTTACAAAACAACTCATTTATATGAGATAACAATATATACTTTTATATATCAAGATTAATATTGCAGAAAAATGTATGACAAAATGTAAAAAAATTTCTTGTGATACATTTTGTCCTTCAGTCCAATGAATCCTAAAGGACAAAATATGACAAAAGTTTTTCCACTTTGTCATACATTTTTCCCCATATATATATATATATATATATATATATATATATATATATGTGTGTGTGTGTGTGCGTATTTAGGCAGCTTATCTTCATTCAAACATGTTTCATTGAGTAATATAGACATATTGTGTCTACTTATATTTATATTGATCCTTTCCAGTTGTCTAATCATTTTCTTGATGTTAAGATGAAATTCATAAAGGAAGCTGCCATAGTTTTTCTAATCCAAGTACTTTTGACCTTTTTTAAGATCATCTTCAGGGATAAATTACAAATACAGCATATTGTAACTGCGATAAAAATAAGTAGACACAATATTTCTCTCTCTCTCTTTATATATATATATATATAGGATATGGGCACATGGCCAAGTGGTTAGAGTATTCACATTCTGACTGAGACTCACCATGGTCGATTTGTCAGGAAGGAGACTTCCTGATGTTATCAGACTGGAGGGTCGATCCCAGCATGTGGAACCTTTGGAAAGTGCCTGAAAACCATACCACAGGTTGACCCAAGCCTTGTGAGTGAAACTGGGTAGACTGACCTCTTGGGTGCCATTGATAGCTGTGCTAGCACAAAGTAAAAAGTCATAGTGGCCAAGGGCTTGAGCATGCTGACCTTGTTCATATTGTTGATCACACTAGGTAACACACTCTTTCCCAGAAACTCTAAGGTCTGCTCAGGTCTGTGGATGTTGAATAAACACAAAAGCGCCTGAGTAAGCATCTGCGATAGGGATTGACTAACTGCCCGATAGACAGGTATCCTCGAATACAATTGGCCAGCTATACTACTACTATATATATAGGAATAAAATATCGCTGCCGACACTGGATTTGAACACAGATCACCAGAGAGCAATCACAGGCGATTCCATTTTGAATAAGTAGATCACTTGATGGTAAAGGAAATGTATATATGGGAATTAGCATGGCATCTAAGTGATCACTATACAGATTACTATTCAGATCAATATTCATTGGTTACTATTCGAGTGAGTATTATCGAGCAAGTACTATTAGTGCGAGTATTATTGGAAGGCATCTGACACCAGTATTGTTCAATGGCATTACTATAGTTGTATCTGTGATTACAAAGTCTCTACTACAACAAGCATTATGTAAATGACAACGAGTATTTGTTGACGTCACAAAAGTGGTAACTATTGTTTGTTGACATCACTATATATATATATATATATATATATATATGATATTTAATTAAATTAATTTTTCATTAAGCTGAGTCTAATATGCATTCTCTTTGCAGGTAATAAGGGAGCTGTTGCAATCTCCATGTATTTCAATGGAACGTCCTTTTGCTTCATCAACACACATCTTGCCTCTCGAAGTGAAAGACTAGCCAGGTATGTTCTTATATATGACAAACTGATAATTGCATTTTTCTTTTATAAATAAAACTAAAGTCATTCAATCTGCATATGTTGGGGGGGAAAATGTATGACAAAGTGGAAAAAGTTTTCTCTTGACGTGTTTTGTCTTTTAGGACTTCATCAGACTAAATTTGTTATAGTGGTGCAACTACATATGTGCACAAACGATGGATGCTGGGAATTTTAAATTAAAATTTTTTTTTATCTAGCCAATTTAATTTAGATTCTTTTTCTTTTCATCACTATGACAAAATTGTCTAGAGAGTGCCTTGATCGCAAGATCGTCATACTTATTATAAAACCCAGGTTGTGTGTGTGTGTGTCTGTACGTTTATATATTGGATCGGATTTCCTACATTTTTCAACCAATTTCAACAAAACTTCACAGGACTATGTAAAATTACCTTGCGGTGGTTCTGACAGCGCCAAAAATTGGAAAAACACAATTGTTTTTGCAGAAATCAATTTGAAAACACGATTAAGCGGCATCGCAAGAATGAAAGGGGGACAACTCATATCAAGTTATACTTACTATAAAACCCAGGTTGTTTGTGTGTGTGTGTGTGTGTTCCTTTATATATGGGTTCAGATTTCCTACATTTTTCAACCGATTTCAACAAAACCACTTTTTTTTTTTTTTGGCAAGTAGTGTTTCTTATTGTCTTGCACACTTTTTTCTTTATTTTTACATTCAGAATGCTTTAAAAAATTCCATTTACAAGACAATTGTTTATAATAAAATTCTATTCAATCAGTAGACTCATAACGATTGAAAACAATGTTTTTGTTTGAGTTTGGGTTTGACCAATTCGTAAAAAAAAAAAAAAAAAATAAAACTAATTAAGACATGCGTGTCCGTCAACCTTAAACAATAATCTTTGTCAATTTTATTTTTCAGTCTTTATGATGGTCAATACTTGATCTATCTCTTACTGTTACATCCCCGGGCAACGCCGAGCTCTACTGCTAGTCTACAATAAATTTTCTTCCTGGCAGAATTTCTATTATGACAGTGTGCAATATCTACTAACAAATGTAATGGAAAGAAAAAAAATCTAAATGAAATTGGCTAGATAAAAAAAAAAAAAAAAAAAAGAAATTAAATTAAAAATTCCCAGCATTCCTCATTCATGCACATGTGTAGTTGGATCAAGATATCAAATTTAATCTGATTAAGTCCTAAAGGATGAAATGCATCACAAGAAAACTTTTTCCACTTTGTCATACATATTTGCCCAATATTGTTCTTGATATATAAAAGTATATATCATTATCTGCATATGCAAAAGTATATTTCAGTTAAATATATCAGATTTTTTTCTTTTTCTATAATAATATTTAGCCTATTCTATTAAAGATATATTGAAAAAGTCTTTTAAGTTCCTTTTTGCAATGACATGTTTTTATTTTTTTAATAGAAGACTAAAATCTAAATATTTTATTTTTATTCTTATTTAATAAACATACTCAATCTATAAGAATTAATTTCTTTACATCCATATGGAATGAACTGGCTTTCATCCTAACTGTACAGATAGATATTGGCATTATTCAGCAAATAAACTTTTAAATTCCAATAAGTATTTTGTATATCAGTGAAACATGAAGTGATTAATTATGTGAGATGCAGAGTATACAGCAAAGATCACATCTGAAAAGATTGAAAAAAACATGGCTTGAAAAAAAAAAAGAAAAATCTTCTCATTCATAATTCTTCAGATCTTGATCCATTTACTTACAACCTATTCGAAAGCTTACAGAACTATTTTGATGGAACCATTCTTGGAATGCTTAAAGAGATAAAAACTACTCACTCATTATTCTTTTATCTCAAGCCCAAAATATTTTATAAAAACAGCAGTATGAAGATTGTGAATTAATGGAAGGTTATTGATAGAACTTACATTAATAAATAAATGGCAAATTCTGTCTGTTTGTCCATGTGTCTGAAACCTCTCTCACTTGGGTCACACTTGCTCACATAGACATATTATACCTTTTTGGAATCAGAATGATCCCCGGATTGAAAATCTGCCCTTCATTTGGTGCTTGAATGACCAACATTGGGATCTGAGTCTGGGTGAGGAGGGAACAGTTAAAAATTCAAACCAGCCTATTGACTATGAAAAAAAAAATCCCAGCATGCATTTGTGTGCTTCTGCCTATAAAAGGGAATGGAAAAGTATTTTACAGTTATTCCTAGAGTTTGAAATTGATGTATCCTTAAAGAGGTTACAAACAGACAAAGGTGGTACTCGAGTGAAGGAACAGCAACACGTGTATAGATGAAAGAAGAGAAGTTTATTGCAAAAGAGAATACACTTCTGAAAGACAGGGAATCAGTTAGCAAATAGTAAATCCTGAAGCAAGTCCACCCAGTATATCCTGTGCACACTATATATATATATATATATATATATATATATATATATATATATATATATGATATAGTCAGTCCAATGTAGGGTGATAGGGGAGGGGATTCCACTACAGCAGAAACCAACAGTTCTAATCTCATAATTCGCATCATAATCTCCTTCAGCTCATCCATTGTTTGAAACCACTTTAAAGGAAAGTGGTTTCAAACAGTGGAAGCAGAGACTCAAATTTGAACAGTTGGGGGCCGATTTGATGTTTTGCCAAAAACCTTTCACAAGACATGAAGAAGGTGCATTGTCATGACGTGTTGACTCAATGCTGTCTCATTGCTAAGTAAATCCAAAGGAAACTATCTGCTTGTGTTTGCTCCCTTTCAATTGGTTGCCAAGTTATGTGAAGACTACACAGTTCTTGATTTATTTAAAATGACAAGATATTCTATAGACAGGCATGATATTTTAAACAAGACATGTAAATACACCCACTAGTTATTTCATAAAATATTTTCTGATTGTCTTTTTTGTAGGCGTAATCAAAATTATCGTGATATCATCAAAGGGTTGTCTCTTGGACAGAAACACCTCAATGTGTTTGATGTTACTAACCAATTTCACCACGTTTTCTGGTTTGGAGATCTCAATTACAGGGTAGAAGAAAATATTCAGGTAAGAATTTTACCATTTTATATATATATATATATATATATATATATATATATATTTAGGTTGGATAGATGTGAGTTTGTGACCCTGGGTTTCATATATATTAAAATATATAGGACAAACTTCGTTTGTCTGATGATTTATGATTAAATCTATTAGACATAATAAAAGAAACTTAATAGGTTGACGATCGCTAAAGCGTGAAACCCAGGGTCACAAACTCACATCTATCCAACCAAATATGTTAGCTCTATCTCTGATATTGAGCACTTTCTAATAAGTACCACAAATAATATATAAATAATTATATATATATATATTTATTTATATTTATATACACTTTTTTTTTACACACACACACACACACATTATATATATATATATATATATGTGTGTGTGTGTGTGTGTGTGTGTTTGTTTTTTTTATCATAAAATCTGGAATATCTAATAAAATAACTTTTTTTTGATAAGTAAATGATACAAAAATTTATAGCATTCATGTATGAGTTTGATGCTAAATTTAACCTTAAGTTTTTTTATTATGTCTAACAGATTTATATTATGAAGTTATAATGAAATGACATTCTTTTATTATATCCTCATAATATAAATCTATTAGACATAATAAAAGAAAACTTAATAAGGTTGAACCTACCATGTATGTATGTACATATGCATATATATATATATATATATATATATATATATATATATATATATATATATGCTTAGTGATCCACTATGCATATATATATATATATATATATATGCTTAGTGATCCACTATGTATATATATATTTATATATTATATATTATAAATATATATATTTGCTTAGTGATCCACTATGTAAACAAAACAATGACAGACTATCATCACTGTCGTGTCCGTATATTGTTTGATATGTTTGTAATTACATCTTTGATAATGGCTTGAGTAAAACGCATCTCAAAGCTTAGATTTTATTAAAAAAATAATGGATAAATATTGTGAATTTCTTTTTTTTTAGTTAATGATAATGTTATCAAACTTATCAGAAGATACGAAAAAATTTACATAAAATAAATAGACAACACTTGTCTATATTATTTAAGGAAACGTGTATATATATATATATATATATATATACACACACACACACACACACACACACTAGCTTAAAAGCTGCCCTATTGGGTGGCATTTAAAGTATCTCCTGCAGGGGTGGGGGGGACTCTCAATTGGCCCTTCGGCTTCTTCAGGAGTTTAAAAATCCCTAAATCTTTGCATATCCTCTGCACTGGAAGCTCTCCTGACTGCCGCTTGATCTGGGTTTTCATTTGCATGGGACTTTGTTTTTCTCGCTGCAGCCTTGGTTCTTTTGATTGCAATCTGGTTCTCTGTTGGCAGAGATTTCTTTTTGCAAGGCATACTGCTGGTGTATGCGATAGGCAACAATAAACTAGAAAAGAACTCAAAATTGATCGCTGCATTTAAGTATTCCATTAATATTTAAGCATACTTTTTAAAAGTTCAACGATAATTCTTCTGCCACCACTTAATAAAGACAATTCGATGTACGTAGGTCCTTACTTTCCATACAAACAATTTTTTTTATTTCATTGGTGACTATTACCGGATTTCACAATTAATTTTCATTATTCCCAAATTTATTTCCAATTTTTAAAAATTGTTATCATACAAAAAGATTGTCTCAAAAAATCGCAGTAATGAAAATTTGGGAATCCAAAATTTCTGTAATATAAGCTATTGAAAGTTACAGGGTTGTGCCCCTTTAATTGAAAAAGTGTGACACACTGACATTTGCATTTATTATATAGAAGAAGATGAGATATTTAAAAGTTAGAGTTGTATCCCTTTAACTGAAAAGTGTCACACATTGACTCACTTACATTTGCATTTATTTTATATATATATATATATATATATATATATATATATATATATATATGATGAGAAAAAGTGGAAAAGCTTGTAAACAACACATTCACTTTGTCTCATCATCTCCACTTTTTTTTGGATACTATTATACATCCTACACACACAATACCCATTTTTGACAAGTGTGTATTATGTCTACTGGCCTGCATGCTGAAGAAAACTTAAAGAAAATGTACCTTCTGACAGCTTATGTATGAACATGCATCCCCCTTTGTAGGAGAAACCACTGTTTTCTTTAAGTTTTCTCAAGTGCATAGACCAGTAGATATAATGCATACTGTTTAAAAATGGGGTATCTACTCAAATATGTGTATCTACAAAAATAACATTTAAAGTAATAAAAATGTAGGATTGAAAATAAATTAATTCTTTTATTATATATTATTATTATTTCTCTGCTTTCTATCAACTCTCATACTGTATTTTTACAGCTGTGCATCAGCAACACAGAAGCTAATTCTTTATTTCCAATCCATGTTACTGATCCATGAATGAAAACCTGAGCAGTTGCAATAAGACAATTGAAATTAAAGAAATGACTTGAAAAATGATAATAAAAATATGACAACATTTTTAAAGAACTTTTAAAATATAAAATAATTAGCAAAAAGCATGTGGAACTCAATCTACTTCCAAATGAGTTTTCTATTCTTCCAAAAGTTTTGGGGGGATTATTGAAATTATTCTTAAGAGAATGATACAGACAGCCTAAAATATTAGAATGATAATTAGCTTGTGCCAGACATAATTTCTATTTTCAAGGGCTAATTTTAATGTCAAATGTATCATCCTAGCTACTAATCATTCATGGCAGTTAAGAACAAATTTGGAGTATAGACCTTAATTTTTGCATGGCCATGGCAGCATACACAGTGGATTAAAGGAAAAATGTTTTTCTTTATGACAACACAGGGCCACATATAGCAAGAATAACTCACAAAAAAATTTTTGAATTCACTTGGTCTGTTCTGTTCTATCCAGTCCATCATATTCACCAAACTATTATCACCTTTTTCAATCACTGTAAAATGCTTTAATGAGGAAAACTCGATCTAACAAAAAATAAAATCAAAAGTTCATTGAAAGATTTTTCATACTAAAACCTGCAAAATACCTCAAAATGTATCAAAGAGCTGACTGATAAATGACAAATCATTGTAAATAATAGTGAATATATAGTTCAATAAAATGTAATTGTACTTTATTTTTTGAAGAATTAATTTGATGAATAAAAACAAATTATTCATCATGATTCAACCTTCTAATAATTCTTCTAAAAATGTTTTTTTTTCTTTTGCTTTAAATGTGTTATTCTTTATCGTTTGTAAAACATCAATAATCTTGTGTCTTTTACGTTAGTGTGTCCTCAACAAATTACGTGATGGAGACATAGATAGTCTACTTGAATTAGATCAGCTAAAAATGGCTCAGGACTGCAAGGATGCCTTTGTTGGATTCCGTAAGTAATTTTATTCTATTACTTTAAATTTATATTTCATGACTATTTTGAAATTACAGGAAATTTTATATGTAAACATTATTTTAAAATGACACAGGAAAAATATAAGACTATACTTTGAATAAAATATTAACTTTTGAAATAATTTTAAATATGCTTTAGCATATGGTATATGCAACTTTTTTTTTTTTTTTCTTGTGTAGGGTAGAACAATTTACAATGAATTTTCATGTCAAACTGCCCCCCCCCCCAATCTAATTTTTAAAGTGCATAGGAGAACAGATATAGTTTATTCTTCTCATTAATTTTAATTCTCTGACTCCTTTCCTGAACCCACTTGTCCAGCAAAAACGCAGACCAAATCACCTTCTTATTTTAACCTTCTTAGTAATGGATAAAAATTATTTCCCAATTTGTTTTTATCAATGAATACATATTTGTTTACCAAAATTCTCAACAAAGAGACATTCTGTTTACCATTCTTCAGCCAGTCACTATCTTAGTGAAAACATAAACCAGATCACCTGCTTGTTATGACGGATCAATTTTCATAATCTTAACTCTCGCACTGGGTTCATTCTCTGTTTTTATTTCTCAATTTGTTTTCACTAATGAAAGTATAATTCCCGTCTGCTTCTCTTCTTGCCAATGATATGTGTTTTTCTAATTTCCCAAGAAAGAGATAAAGCCATTTCCTAATTTGCTTTACCCACATGCCAGGTTAGCAAAAGATAAAAAAAGTAAATTCTTGGTGCATCAGTCCAATTCGTAGGTGTGAGGTAACCCAGATGGCCCCTTCACTTCCACATTACCAGTGAAAATATCTTCAATTCTCTCTTTTTATCCCTCTATCTTCCAGTTTATAATTCATCTTGGGCTTAACCCTTTTTCTGCTTCAAATTAATGTTTAACCACCTCACAGCCTCAGTATCATATTTCAACTAAATAAATTATTTAACATTTCAGAATCATTTTATTCATTTTCTATAAAGTGTGTCATTTCATGTATGACAACCTAATATATAAAATGCCTAACCTAGCTTCAAAGTGTTAAATCACAGGTGAGTGGAAATTAACATCATTCACTATTTACATTATTCGAACTATTGTCCTCATCTTTGTTGCCATATTTATTACAACATTTCGGTTGTACACTCCAGCCTTCTTCAGGTGGTTGGAATGTCGAACTGAACCCTTTGTTTCACTCATGTTGTAATAAATATGGAGACAACAATGAGGACAATAGTCCAAATAATGTAAATCGTGTACATAATACCTCATCTCAGAAATATAGACAGATAACATCATTCACGTACAAAATTCATCTTTTATTAATCTTAGGTTAGCTTCTTTTTTCATCTTATTGACACATTTTATAACAACTTTCTAAGTTGTATACATTACAACAATTTAAGTAGCATTAAGAATAAAAAAGTAACATCCAAATATTTAAAATAGGAATAGAACAGTGGCTTCCAACAAGACTTAAACATATTTCAGGAGCATGTTTTTCATGGACAATGCCTCAACCAATTCGACCATCGAAGACTGTGGCTAGCGGTGGGCATAAATCTATAATCATGCTTCCTGTCAGGCACTACTTATTTATTCCTATTTCATGCTACTTAAAAGTCAAAGGGTATTTGACATACGATGTCAAATAACAAGCAACAACAGGATGAATAAAATTATTAAAATTATAGCACTCCAGAACACTTAACTTCCCCTTAAAAATTCTCAGTGTCCCCAAAGGAGTGTTGCCACCCACATTGAGAATCACTGACTTAAAGCCTCTCATATTTTTTTCTTTTCTGCCATATCTTATGATTTTCATTGCTTAGAAATTCCTTACAATTTTAATGGAGCTTTTATTTTTTGCTAAGTTAGATGTATTTTTCAAACAAGAACAAAGAAATTTAATAAGTTGCATATATCACACTTCTCAGGCAAAAGAGATTCAGCTAATAACCCTGTAGCCTTAAAACTGCTTATCTATTTGTGCCATTCAGAAAAAAAATAATCTGTAATAATATCACTTTTTTTCTTTTCTTTTTTTTTTTTTCTTAAGGGGTTTAAAATAATAATTACAGTAAATATATATTATTTTCTATTAAAAACAAAATCATTTTGATTAAATTTGTTATAATTTTTCACAGGTGAAGAACCCATTACATTCCTACCAACCTACAGAATGGAGCGAGGAGCTAAAGGAAAATTGGTTTACAACTGGCGAAAAGTAAAAAAGACCACTGGAGTAAGTTGATACCTTCAAGATGTAACCAAATTTCTCACAAGTTTTCAGATGATTGATAAAACCTTAGTTGCTAAAAATTTAAATTCAAGTAGAAATTATTTGTGATCTTTAGTGAGATAGAGAATTTCAGTTTGTTCCTTGTCAATTGAAAACCTCAAAAAGTGTTCCTTGTCAATGAAGAACCTTCCAAGGTGTTGAGAACCTCTCAGGGTGTTCCTTATCAATCAAGAAACCTCTCAGAGTGTCCCTTGTCAATCAAGAAACCTATCGGATTTGTTGTAAAATTTGATCATTATTAAAACAATATCAAGGTTTTATTAAAATGAGTGACTTTAATTTTATGTAATCAGTCTGTAATTTTTATCATAAGCAAGAGAATCGTCTATTGTTTCTCCGCTTCATTCTAGCATGTTCAAGTTACTTTCTCACCTCTTTTACAAAAGCTTGATATTACCTTTCCTTTACACACACACACACACATATATATATATATATATATATATATATATATATATATATATATATTTTATTACTATCCTTATTATATTTAGTGAATATATATTGTAATAAAATAAGCATATCCTATATCCCCTCTTTCTTGTAACCATCCACTGTGATAAACATTTTCAGCACTAAAGATGAATTAGTCAAATAAAGTTTCATCAGCTTCTACTTAGAGTTACTACATTACACATATGTTTGAATAGTCATCTGTTTTTTTCTTTTTTTTTTTTTCACAGAATAATTGATATCTACTGACCTGGGCTTTTTCAGAGTTTTTAATAAAGAAAATGTAGCTTTTAGCATGTTTGAACCGGCATTCTCCTTATATAGGGGAAAGCACCATATAGCCAGACCTAATTTTAATCTGCTCAGTTACAAGATATATATATATATTTATTAATGTAATTAGGCAGCAGTTGTTCATTTTAAATTAATTAAATTGTGTGGTGCATTCAACAGATAAGACTTTCTGTGTTTTAGATTTATTCTATCCAATTTAAAATATAATGACACAGTAAATATACATTTTATATTTTCTTCACCTTATTTAACTTAAGTTCTTATTTATAACAATCATAAATCCCCCACTACTACCACCACAAACCCTGCTGATGACTCACACGAACTCAGACATTGCAATTATATTGTTTTTGGAAATTTTGTTCATCTACAGCAGCCAGTTCTGTGAAATATTATTCACAATTTAGATTAAAAGATAGTCAAACTTAATATACCTAAAATATCTATATTTTTCGATAGAGCACACACACATATGAATTGTGCTATTGATGAGGAAAAAATGTATATTTATTATTAATATGTATATTTTAATTTTTATTGCTTTTTTTAGTAATAAATAAATATAAGCAGAGCATCTATTCAAATATAAGTATCCATTAAAAATAACATTCAAGGAATAAATTACAATACGATGGATTAATAAATGAAAAATTAATTCTTAATATATATATATATATGTGTGTGTGCGTTTTAGCGTCATATTTTACATGAATTAAAATACTTTTCTCCTCTTTTTGTTATTTTAACACTCGGCCGAAGAACCTTAAATATTCCACAGGGGACAGTATACCCTACTTCGTATCCAGTTACATTATGAAGGGGTACTGAAAACCTCTCTGACCAATCAAATTACCAAACATCAATTTTTTTTTTTTATTTTGAAGCACTTATTGGTCAAGTCAAGAAGTCTTCAGTACTCTTTTGTTGTGTGCAATATTTGAGATATTATCTGCAAGAAGACTATAATTGTATCATTGCAAAGTTTGTTTGGTATATTAACCGACAACTTTTTCTTTTCTGCTTAACACCAATTTCTGTAGAAAATGGCTCTTCTCTTCCCCTCTAAATTGCACACTAATGTAATCTGTACAATAGATAAACCAAAATGTTTTACTAACCACAAAAATAATGAAAACAATGAGTTCATTAGTCTGAACAATGCTTGAAGTATAAGTTAAGACATGATATTGTTTCCTCTTGTCGTTTTCCATTTGTGAATTATTGTTTACCTATTTAATTTCAGGATCGAATCAATGTGCCTTCCTGGTGTGATAGAGTTATGTGGAGATCTTACCCCGGAACTTTTATTGAGAATATAGCTTATGGTATGTTGACATTTCACTTTTGTATTTTCTTGTTTTAATATGATAACTTTTGTCAGAAGAGTAGTCACCCCTGCTATCCACAAGGGATATATTCCCAGACCCTCACAGATGCTCTATCAGAACTAAACAAAAAAACTAAAAAGAGCCAGTTTATTCCTTCATCAACTTTCCTTAATGCCCTAGTGGATTATATATACAGCTCTCTAAAGGAGTAGTGACACTGGTCTGAAGATTGCATTGGTGAAGCATAAAGCTGACAGTCACTATGCAGTGTTTATTCCTATGTCCACACTGTCTATATCTACAAATGCTCTATCTCTAATACTGAGCACTTTTCCTTTATAAATATTTTCTTTATGAATATTGCAAAATTCAAACATACATATACAGTTTAAAATTTGGTATATTTATAGGGGGAGAGTGCTCAGTATTGGAGATATACAAATTCTTCAATATTAAGCACTCTTCCTTTTATAAATATAGCAAATTTTAAACACACACACACACACACACACACACATATATATATAAAAGTGAACATAGAAGTCAACACTTAGAGGCAACAGTCTGTTTCATGCTAGATGTAATCATCAAGCCTGACGATTGCATCTAGCATGCCTCTAAGTGTTGATTTCTATGTTCACTTTTATATTTACACACACTCTATCTCTGATATTGAGCACTTTATCCCATAAATATAGCCCATCTTAAGACTATATTTCTTCATATATATAAATTGCTGTATTTATAAGAAAGAGTGCTCAATATCAGAATATTTGTAAATATAGACATAAGAATCAACACTACATGGTGAATGTCAGTTTCATACCTCAAGCAATCTTCAGACTTGAAATATATATATGTATGTAAGTTTGAATGAAAGGAGAGGAAAAAATGGAATGTCACTTACCTCATGGTAGGAGAGAAGAAGAGGTGGTGATTTCTTTTATAGAAAGATATTATGAGAAGAGATAAATTATGGGAAGGAAGAAAAGCTATAAAGTTCAACCAAAAATACAAGTGGGCAATTTTCTTGTTTGCATTATAGGAGAAAGTTTGCAAGAGAAGAAGAAGGAGATTTAAGCGAAGGATGAGAGATCCTAGGAGAACTAATTTTTTTACACACACACACACACACACACACATATATATATATATATATATATATATATATATATATATATATATAATAATTCATGAATTTTTGATTTCTTGGGTGGTGGTTAACCATGGAAAGTGAAACTGTAAGGGGAGATAACTGTACAACAATTTCTTGAAAACAAAAATAAAAGAAAGAAAAAATGAAATTAAAGTAAAAGAAATTTGAATGATAAGCTTCTATTTTGCTATTACAATTTTAATCCTTCTTATTTGCTTATTAAACCAGTTTAAACTTTCCTAATTTCCATGCTTTCAATCTAAGATTGAATTGTCATGCAATTTCAAATCTATCAAATATGTTTATTAACTGTTATGTTTGAAAGTAATTATTACTACTATCAAATAGGAATGCATTTGCTCCTGCTTGGAAAGATAGCCACATGATTCTGGTTCCTTTGGTTGGTAATGATTTCAAGCTAAATTTTTGAAAGAATTTTGGTTTATCATTTAAGGTTAAGTTATGGCTTATTCTGGGCTTTTGTTTTGCCACTTGTTGCTATTCAAATAGAATGTATACTTTAAGAATGTGATTTATTTAAGTTGTTCTTCTGGACTTCCTGGTTGAAGCAATGGTTTTGAGTAATGATTAGTTAATCACAATGAAGAAAAAGATTGCAGTGACCCCTTGATATAATACTCATATGTAAAGTATTTTTTAACAGACCTTATCACAGGGTTGAGATTTGACTAGGATTTATAGCATTCTTTACTTTTTTCTGTTGAATGGTGAGATTTAACATAGACCTCCATTTCCATGAGTTGTACTATAACTTGGCTTGAAGTAAAGAACACCATGTCCAGCCCAATTTGAGCTGGATTGAATTTTGAAAAATATGCAGGCTTTTCTTTTCTAATCATTTTTTTTAAATTATGCTTAAAATTAGTTTTATTTATGATAACATGCATCTTCATGATAGATTTTAAGTAAGAAACATTGAATCACAATGTCAAAGCTGTTAAGTAAATATTATATATTATCTATAATTTAGTTATTTTATATTGCATAAGAAAATCGTTTTTATTTTCATTTTTTTGAAATTCTTACTTTCAGATTACTGATAAAAAAATGATTACTTTCAAATTTGATGGACGTCTGCCATTAACAGATGCCTCTTTTTTTATTAGCCTGTTAAATCAAAAGTTTACTATAATGAAAAAAAATTGATACTGACAATTTTTTTCCTTTTCAGGATGTGCGGATGAGATTGTGAGCAGTGACCACCGACCATTGTTCAGTTCATTCAATGTTGGGATTGCTTCCCAGTTCATCACTAACAGAGAATCTCTGGTTGATCAAACATCTGTTCGTATTATCTTTGACATTGTCCAAGCAGAGGTCAGTCTACATTTTTGATATTTGCAAATTACTTCTATCACAATTTTCTAACCTTTCACTTTTTTTAAAAATCAGTAATATAAAGTAGAAATGAAAAAGTAGCTGTAGTAGGATTAGGTAGTAGTAACCCCATATGGAAATATACACTTTTCCTTTTCACTAAGAGAGAAAACTATTACACATACTTCCTTTCCTTCCTTCTATTGTTCCTATCCTTGGTAACTGACAGAACCTGGACATAACTTATGTGGGTCAGTGAACATCATTAAAAAAAATCAACCAATGACAACACATCCCACCAAAAATCAAATGGAAAACACAGATGTGTCAGGCCCAATAAAAGGAAGTAAAAAACCGTGTCCACAGCAGAAGTGAGAAATTGGTTTGCAAGGGTTGGAGATTCATCACATGTGAGTTTGACCAGACGTGCAACTCCAAAAAAAAGAAGGATGAATTCAACAAATTAATTTCTGTCAGCCAAAAACACAACGACCCTGTATGAACTCTCAAATCACAAAAAATACTAAGACGATAGTCACCCACTTTAACTACTGTAACCAAATGGAGCCAACAATAAAATGGTACTATAGAGAGTAAATTTGGCCTTTACTTATGTATTAGCCCAACCTTCAGATAACTTTCAATACATTAACTCAAATCTCATTTATTTAGGAATTCATCTTAATCTCAAAAGTTATAATAAAAGCCAGCAATAAAATAAAGAAAAAACTAGCCTAATACTTATAATGAAAATGTAACAAATTATGCAGTACTTATTTGATTAACTGCATTACTTAAAAAAATTACTTCACTAGTTATATAAATGTAAAACCAGACTTAGTTGGCAATAATGTAAGTGAGAAATGGTTATAAAAAGGTATGGTTAATTATTTACAGCTAATTTGTTTAATTAATACACTGACTATTGTTTGTGTCATGTGGCAACAATTGCAAGTAAATGATGCAATAAGTAACCAAGTAATCGTTTTAAGTTCTGATTATCAGTGCCTAATGGAAAAACACTACTTTAAAGATTAAATAGTATTCAAACTTGAAAGTAGAGATAAAAATCAACAGTAACATGAAGAAAAGATCAGTGAATAATAATGAAAATCTTTAGGTACATCAATAAGTCTGTAGCCTCACAATGAAAATTTTACATAACAAATATTTAATTCTCAATATAATCAACTTCCTTGTGAATAGCCCCCTGCCAATCCTCTTATTTATCTATACACTTGCAAGAAACAATGGCTATTTCACAGTTACTGTGGTTGATTGCTCATGCCACAAACATGGTGTACAATTTCTGGTGTCAGATTAGAAGCTGCCATAGATATCTGAAAGAGAAAAGAAAACATTAAAATTTGGCACATTTTACATAATATCATGTTATTCATATTCCATTTATGATATGCTAATGATATGTTCTTAAATACCTGGCACAGCCTTTGGGCACACATGCACGTATATATATATATATATATATATATATATATATATATATATATATGTGTGTGTGTGTGTTAAAAAATTAAAAGGAAACAGTTAAATTCATAAGCTCATATTATTCAAAATATATAACATATATAAATTAATCTCAAACTAAAATAATTTAAATACTAATTTACATTGAAAAAATATTCAAGAACATCACTTACTCACTTTCATTTATTATACATTGAATTGTATCAAATTGGGTATCCATGGTTTGCCTGACTTTTCAGCTAATGTGATGAATATTTTTGAGCATTCATAAACTTAAAAATTTTGAAAAACCAATAACAATTTTGCTCTTATTACAAAAATAAAATCCTTGCATTTACCTTGATAAAGTCTCAGGGAATGAAACATGTCAGCTAGGATAACCTTTGTCTTTATTTATATTGTCCTTTTACAGATATACTGTCTGAAATTTTTACACACACATATTTTATCACTATATAAAATCCATTACCTTAGAAAAATTTGGACAATTGTATCTGTGCACATATTTTAGGAACATATTAATTTGCAATTTTCTGATGATAATCTAATCAAAATAACAAAGAAATTTGAACATTATTTACATTATTCGGACTATTGTCCTCATTTTTGTCGCCATATTTATTACGTTTCGGACGTTGTATGCTCTAGGCTTCTTCAGGTAGTTGGAATGTCGAACTGAACCCTTTATTTCGCTCTCTGGGGTAGACTGTTCTAGTTCACATGCCATGTTTTTAATGGATGTCAGTTATCTCCTGTTAATTCCCCTTTGAAAGTTCACTGCCTTAATCCAGGACACATGGTACAGTGGATAAGGCATTAGTTAGATTCAGTGACAGGATCCAAAGAGTGTGAGTTCAATACCCAGTTAAGGCAGTGGAGAACTTTCAGAGGGGAATTAACCGTTGATAACTGATAACTGACATCCATTAAAAACATGGCACGTGGAACTAGAACACTCTACCCCAGTGAGTGAAATAAAGAGTTTAGTTCAACATTCCAATTATCTGAAGAAGGCTGGGGCATACAATGCCCGAAACATTTAATAAATATAGTGACGAAGATGAGGACAATAGTCTGAATAATTTAAATAATGTACATAATACCTCATCTCAGAAATATAGACAGATACTAAAGAAATTTGACATCTTTTTTTTTTTTTTTTTTTTTTTTTTTTTTTCATGCAAGTTTTATTTTTCTGTTTTCAGATTCGTACATGCTCCTGCCAATATTTTGTCTTGGAATTCTACTCTAATTGTCTTCCAAGTAAGTTTTTTGTTTCTTACAGTGAGGTTTACCCTGTACAAGGTCCAGGGGCCACTCCAGGTAGAAGTTTAGTAAGTAGGAGGGGAAGTTAATGGTTAACTGTATACCTTTTCAACTTCAAAATGATAATAATCAACTTCAAAATGATAATAATCAACTTCAAAATGGACTTATTTTCAAGTAAAAAATTAATCAACTCCAAAATGGATCAATCAACTTCAAATTGGATCAATCAACTTCAAAATGAGAAAATGTCAAAAACTTAAAAACAATCAACTTCAAAATAAGAATAAACAACTTCAAATTGAGATATTTTTTTTGGTAAATTGAAAATTATTTTTTCAATTAATTTACCCCATGAGTAAGGAAATTGACTGTTTGTCTTCATTATATAGATGAAGAAAAAACCAAAATACAAACAACTTAGAGGCCAAGAAAGCATTGGGTGAGCCTACAGTAAAAGTAGGAGGAGAAAGTCCCATATGGGAAAAAATGATGCTTGATGATGATGCTTGAAGAAGAATTAGCAACAGCTCCTAAGAGGACTTACCTGAAGAAAACTGTGGCTGGTGAAAAAAAGGCCCAGATTTTAGCTGCACATGCCGCAGCAGGAAATTGGAAAGACTTGGCAAGAACAATTGGTGTGCCTCTGCCAACAGCGTACCATTGGTTAGACCAGGGTGCGGATAAGAGTGACTCTAGGAGAGGAGCAAGAAAATATAAAATTATGCAAGAATAAGAATTTTATGGCCGAATTAATTGAAAACTCTCCTAGGGTCACTCTTCAAGACATTATAAATAAGTTGGTTGAAAAGTATGAGGTTCGTGTGACAAAAGAATGCATAAGGAAGCACTTGGACTCCATGGCCTTTACTTTAAAAGTGGTTCATTATGAACCAGAAGCTGCCAATAATAATGTCAATAAGGCGAAACATAAGGATTATGCAGTAGCTTTATTAGAAATTCAGTCCCAGAGTGTGCCAATTCTTTATATGGATGAAACCAATTTTAATCTCCATATTTCAAGAAGAGATGGTTGCTCTAAAAAAGGCACGAGGTGCACTACAGTCGCAGCTAGATCCAGGGGAAATAAAATCCATGTTATTGGATGTATTAGTAATAATGGATTCATTCATCATAAAATTAAAAAGAGGTTCTTTCAGAAAAGAGAATGCGAAAGAATGGACCAGGGAATGCCTTAGAAAGGCAAATGAAATTTATGAAAGGGGAGTTGTCTTAGTTATTGATAACGCTCCTTGCCATACTTCAATTGAAGAAGTTGTGGAGGAGAATGAATTTAGGCAACACTAAATTTTCAGACTTGCCCCCTATAGTCCGATGTTAAATCCCATTGAAAAGGTTTGGTCAGTCATTAAAGCTGACATAAAAAGAAGTATGGCAGACTCAATTGTTGGGATTTTAAGAGGTGATGGCCAGGGATCTTTAACTACTAAAGAATTCCACCTCAGCAAATTAGAAGCGATGATCTCCAAGGCAATTAATAATATTTCCCCTGAGACTTGCACTAACTTCGTATCTGGAATACAGAGATTACTTCCCTCTGTAATTAACTTAAATGATGTAATCTTTTAAATAAATTTCTTAGGAACATTTATATTTTTTTTATATCCCTTTTAAGTAAAAATAAAAGAATAAATATTAAATTTATTAGTATTATATTAATTCTCAATTTGAAGTTGATTAATCCAATTTGAAGTTGATTATTTCTCATTTTGAAGTTGTTTTCCAATTTGAAGTTCATTAATCCATTTTGAAGTTCATTAATCCATTTTGGAGTTGATTAATTTTTTTACCTGAAAATAAGTCCATTTTGAAGTTGATTATTATCATTTTGAAGTTGAAAAGGTATAGACTTGAACAGGTTATGATTGTAGCGATCAGGGAAACATCCTCTTGGGAATCAGTTCCACAGAACAGTGGTTCACAGGAAGAAGCTGTAGCATATCAGTAAAACTACTACTACTAAGAATAATAATTAATCTTATTGATAATTAGCATTTACAAATAATTATAGTATAAATTTTATAAATAGTAACTGACTTCACATTTTGTGAACACTGTCAAATGCAGTATTTAAGCATTTTTTTCTTGGGAAGAATTTAAATATAATAATACTATGTGGAAAAAATATATTTTCTTTTTAAAACATTTGAAATTGTTTCTTATGTGACTGTGTTAGAAGAGAACTACCTACATATATTACTAGTAGCAATGTGGATTTCTTAATTTTTTATAACAATTCTTGACATAAAAATAATTCTTAAGGTTTTATCTTTTAACAATTATGTTTAAACATTGTACTTATAATGTGTATTTAAACTTAAAAAAAAAAGAATACAAGTCCCATAATTGTTTATTGTATTTTCTAGATGTTGTAAGCAGTAGCCCTAACAAAGCCTTCTATGCTGAAATTGCTGGTCTATGTTGCCCTCAGTGGACAAAGGATTGTTTACCTGAGGTAAGTAGAAAGTAATTTACTATCTCTTTTGTCTTAATGTATTATTGTATTACAACAATATAAATAGGATTTCTAAAGAATGTTTGAATTGCATATAAATGTTTAAAATAACCCAAAGAGTTTCAACAACATGTCTTTCGTGGTTTTTGATCTTTTCTTTTACAATTTAATAATCCACAACATTCAAGCATATGGAAGTAAACAAACACACACACACACACAGACAGATGCGTGCATCAAGCAGATATAAGTTTGTTAAATTTAATCATGAGAGATGTGTTCTAGTTTCAACTATCTCTTTCAAATTAGTTCTCTTGGCTAACAAAAGAGAGTAGTGTTTTTTTATTCTTGTGCACTGTTCAACTTCATCAACTTTTGGATAGCACTGTATTTATGTGTGTGTGTCTGTGTAAAAAATATATATATATATGCATATAATAAAATATAGTTTTAAGGTATGCTATATATATGGGTAAAAGTGCTCAATATCAGGGATAGAGTGTATGTACATATAAAAGTGGACATTGAAGTCAACACCCAGAGACGACAGTCTCTTTCATGCTAAAGGCAATCATCAGGCCTGACAATTGTATATAAGCATGAAACAAACTATTGCCGCTGGGTGTTGACCAATGTCCATTTTATATATATATATATATATATATATATATATATACACATACACAGATTTTAAAAAAAAATACCCTTCATTGACATTAATTAGACAATTCAACATGGAGGATAGAAGCAATTCATATATTTATAAATATATAACCAAGCCTGACAATCCCTGACCGGAAGGGTGAAACATAAGTTATTAAGGTAGTTATATTTTAGAATATTTTGTTATATAAAATTGTCAAGAAAGGTTATATTTTTATAAATATGAATTGCTTGTGTCCTCCACGTTTAATGGTCTAGTTAATGCCAATGAATACTAATTTTTTTAAAATGTGTATCTATGTATGAAATTGGACACTGATGTTGGCCTCAGTGTCCAATTTTACATTTCAGTTTATGTATGCTCTAGCACTGATATTGAGCACTTTCCCCCATAAATATAATGTATCTTAAAACTATATATATGCACACATACACACAGAGAATACAAGATTTTAACATATATGTGTGTGTGTGTGTGTGTGTGTGTGTGTATGCATGTGCTGCTTTTAATTTGACACTTCATATATATGTATCTCAGCTGAAGTGCTAACAGGCAGCATTGTACAAGATATTTTTGTCCTTTCCCCACTTAGAAATGGACTTGACTATATCACATATTCGTGACGTAATAGGTAAAGAGGTAGTGTAGCTGAGACATTTAAGAAATGTAGACAGGAATTAACACAGTTTAGCCACAGGATGATTGTTTAAGTCATAAGGATAGTGCACTCTATCTCTGAGGTGGCAACTGTTTGAAGTTTTTCTCTGTTGATAGTAACAAAGCTATACCAGGAATATGTGAATTCTGGACAGACACCAGCAGTATGTGAAAACTGTCCCCAAAAGTGATGTAAGCAAGAACTCGACCACCAAAATCTGGCAAGGATGCTAGCTATGGAAATTACATCAAATCATATTCCAATTCAGCACTGAAGTTACCTGGGTGATATTCCTTCCTTCATGGTCCTGTAAATGAGCTTAACTTTCTTGCACCAAAATTCAAACTCAATGATTATGTATATTGGATGTGTTAACCATGTAGAGTAATTGGCAGAAATGCCCAACAAACAGAATTGGCAAAGTTTGCAATAGACAATAACAAGAGAAGGAAAAGAAAAAAAAAGGGGCAAAAATAATATTGAGCAAACAACATATACAAGGCAAAACAACAACGCTTTGCTGAATCCATTTTCTGTGCCAATAACAGTAATGCTGCATCATGCCAGCTTGAAATATGACAATACTATTTTTAAAATTATGCTCTTCATCAGTCAGTGGTTAAGATGATTCTTTCATTGGTCATATAAGCACCACTCTTTCTAGTAGGTTAACTTATTACTTATTGAAATGTGTGTAATTTATTCTCATATTGATCATCACATGATAACCAAAACACTATTAACATAAGGCATACTAGATCATTCCCAAATACTATACAGCATACACTTTAAAGAAAAACTCAGAATATTTGAAGATATTCTGAAACTAAAGGAACAATCTGAAAAATATAAATAAAATACATTTCATCACTGAAATGGCATTTTAAAATGTGTACAAATTATTCATAATACATATTTATGATTGTAGAGTAATTAGCCATGGTTAAATGTAATTGGCAAAAATGTCCTACAAGCAATTGACAAACTTTGCAATAAACAATAACAAGAGAAGACCAAAGAACAAGGTAAAAATAATATCAAACAAACAATATATACCAGACAAAAATATGCAAAGCAACAATAATAAGGCAAAAAGTTTACAAACTAAGAATATTATTAACACACAAAAGGAATACAAACAAGTGATCACAGCATTCTGACTTTAAGACAAGAAAGATGAGAACTAAGTCTGATGAGACCAAAAAGTGGCCTATCATTGGCTAGGAAGAAATCCCAGCATGCATTTATGTTTTGTCTATAAATTTGGGCAAAGGGATGTTTTTGCAGTCATTCCTAATGTGGATTAGAATCAACAAAAACTGTAGACCTCCCCTGCCTTGGTTTTTACATGGTAGAGTTGCTATCCCCAAGCCCAACCAGTTTTAAATTCAGAGTTGTCTTACTCCTAGTCTGAAGTCGACCAAAGCTAGAGAGCACCATCTGTTTAAATATTAACTCCTAACTGGGGTGGGAGATAAGAAATGACCTTCATAGCTTTTTTTAAGGATGTTTATGCCTAAAAGCAAATGCAACAGCCTCAGCTAGAATTTGAACTCACCACTCCAGTCCTACTTTCCTTGCCAATAGCTTACAGCCAAATCACACTGGAAAAAACGGTTTTTATTCAATCATTGGATTTAAGCAGTTTTGAACCTGATCAGTATTTAAAAGGGTGAACACCTGGGGACACCAGATACTATGAGCAACTTTCTACAATTCAAAATATGTTTCGGTTTTAAATAACTCACAAAGCTGTAAAAACAAATCAATGAATCCTTGCTTATAACTGTTATGCTATGAGCACATCCAGAAAATGCAAAGAGTAAGCTATTACAAATACCTTTCATAAGGAGGAGTACAAATTACTCTTTGTAACCTCTAGGTAATTTACTGAATTTATATTATGAGCAAAGTACTGAAAAGTTCTCAACCCAACAAAGAAATTCTTCCAAAAATATTGTGATGTTTCATCAGATTTTAAGAAGTTGGGTCAAGAACTTTTCAGCACCCTTTTGTATATTCATTAATTTATATTCACAATATCTATACAATGTACTATGAAAATGTTAACCTCTATTTTACTCCTATATCTACTTAAGTATTTAGTGTGTCATTTTATATTTAATCGTTGCAGCAAATAGAAATTTTTTATGGATTTCATAAATCCTATCCATGATATCATGAATTAAATATATGTAAATTCAATTTCATTGTATTAGGGCAAAATAGTTCAGTTTAAAACAGTAAGACTATCCACATATTGATTATAATGGTGAAGTCTTGTGCAGAACCAACCATACTTTTTGGAAGAACTGGTAGCAGAGAAATGATACAAAGAGACCTCATGTTTTATTTTCACAGAGTTTAACCTCTCCAGAATAATGTGAAAGTGGCATATATTTAGACATGACCTTCCTTGGATAGACATGGTCTGAATTCAGTTTATCTTATTTATTCTTATCCTAGACTGATTGCCAGCCAAAGCAAAATGAATCCAGTCTGATCTGCTATTTTTTCTATAACTGGAGGAAGATTAATTCCTACTTTTTTTTTTCTATAAGGGTCTTTGTGCAAAGTGAATTCAACAAAATCAACCAGAATTTGAACTCTTCATGCTGATCCTACTTTCTGCATTGATAACAGTTATGCTACCTGTCTGCATGCATGCACACACACATATATGCACACATAGGTATATTAATAATTCATAGTTCTTTGTTATTGCACTTAAGCCAACATTTGTCCATTATTTGCATAGTGAGAAAAAAAAAAAACTTCAGATTAAGATTCAGTTTTGTCAGTCTACAAACTTATTGATCCACCCACTGGGTAAGATAAATTGTGTAAAGTATCAAATACTGGTTTTTGGAGTTTTTGTGTCACAAAAGGTTTTAGAAAAGGTTGTGATATATCACAATACAACTTGATGATCATTCATAGGATACAGATGCAAAGAGCTCAAAAAAGAGTTTTTTTTTTTTTTTGTTTTTGTTTTGAAATCTCATGCAGGATTGCATTTGCAGGGCTTTGAAAGTAATCTACCACAATTCTTTATTCTTTTATATAGGAAATGTCACTTATATATATATATATATATATATATATAAGTATATGATTGGTGTATACAGAATGAATTTATTAATGATTTATTTTACATTCAACATCATCACTTGATAAGACACCGGGGGTGTTGAAACAAAATGGCTATTTTTGTAATGATTTTATAACATATTTATGTTATAAATTTTTTTTTTTTTAAATAAATATTATATATATATATGAAAAATAAAATAAATTTCAAATTAGATATCCTTGAGTATTTCCGAATTCTCTGTATTTTAAATACTTCCTCTCAGGAGAGACATAAGCAATAGGGGTAATTCAAGGGAAGTAACTTAACTATAACAGCATAGTATATTTTGATAGTTCAATTGTTCAGTTATTTCAGATGAGTCACAAGCTAATGATATTTGATTGTTGTTTTGAATACTAAAAAATGTTTCGTTTTTTAATCAGATTTTAAATTAAATGTCAATTCAATAGTACTGCTGATTGATCTAAATAATAATAATAATTAATAAACAAAAATTAAACAAATTAAATTTAAATTAAACAATTAAAATATTAAAAATGAAATAATTAAAACAATAAACAAATTAATGATTATTACATGTGTTCAAATCGGCTCTCACAAAAGTTGCACTATTGTGCAACTGTTCATCATGACTAGTATGTTTAATAACTAATGTATATGCCATATTTTCCAGCTATATATTTAGTCTTGTTATATTAAGCACATGGTAGTGAGAGAAAGGAATAACGAGAATTAGAGTGAAACAACATTTATTTTTGGTAGAGAGTACAAGAATAGCAATCGGGTGTATATGCAGTGACGTAACTAGGGTAAACATCACCCGGGGCGGTCCGCTCAAATGTCACCCCAATGACCCCGATTCACCCTATGCTGAATGGTTAGCTGTAGCTAAATTTTTATACATGCTCTACCTCTACTTTACTCTACTGACTGGTACGTTACTGTTTACATGTATGATCCAAGACAAAATCCAATACCACAAAATAATCAGTTCAAATCAAAAGCTGAAAACATTGCTATTTTTCCTACTCACAAATTTCCCAACAATTTATTAGAAAATTTCTGATGGGGGGACAAAACTGGGGGGGGGGGTTTCAGACTATTTTTGACACCTTAGCCTGGTTGAAAAATTTTGTTGGGGGTGACATTGTGTCACCCCTCCTGTGCTGGCACCCGGGGCGGTCTGCACCCCCCCCCCTCAGCTACACCACTGTGTACATGTATTGTTGGGAGTTGAACCATTTCTTGCACAGGCATGGCCAAGGTCACAGGATTCTGTTGGTGCATGTTGGTTGATGGAGGTTATGCTTGTAGGTCATCTTGTTGGTTGGTTGATCTGTTGTGTTGAAACAGGGTGACGTCAGATTGGTGTGGTATTGGTAGCCCTGTTCTGTGAATGGGGGCCGCTGGCGTTGACTGTGAAGGGAATACCTTGTAAACAAGTTGAGGTAGAGCTGTTCTGTGAAGCAGATGTTGCTGGGGTCAGCTACAGTGTTGGGAGGCCTGTTTTGTGGAACAGAGGTCGCTGCATAAACTGTGAAGGGAATGCTTTGTAAACGAGTCGAGGTAGACCTGTTCTGTAGAGCGGATGTCATTGGGATCCACTGTGAAGGGAATGCCTTGTAAACAAGTTGAGGTAGGCTGAGGTGACAACGTCAATGAAGGCTTGTAGCTGGGAATAATTGAGGTTGAGATGTTTCAAGTTGAAGCTGGATAGCTCTGCTGGATGGAGTCACGGTCAAGATGTTTTGAATCAAAACTGGATAGCCAAGGTGGTAGGTCAAGCCAGGAAGTGGATAACGGTCATTTGAGTGGTGGTGGTGGTAGTAGTGCTCTGCATGGTGGCAGTGGCCGTGCTGAACCGCAACTGTGTCCTGGTCATCTTCAGAGCCTGCTTTTAAGTGGATCTGATGGTCCTCAGGTATGTCTCTTTTACTGGTGGGAACATTCGTGATTGGCCACTGCCAGAGTTCACTTTGTAGACCAGAGGTAGGCATGGAGTCTAATGTGTAGAAAACGACTTTTGTTATTTCATTTTCTGCCTTCTAGGCATTTACATCTGGCCAGAATGAATCAGAATGAGATCTAATTGCAACAGAGTGTAACGGTCTCTAAATTAAAAAAAAAACATACTGGAAACTTTTGCATACACATGTGTGTGGGTATAATTATTTTTCTTTTTTATGGCAAACATTTATGACTTATGTATTATTTATCACTATTTTAATTTTTAGGGTAAGGATTTTTTTTTTTTTTTTTCAATGCTCCAAAAAATCTTAACGAATGTTTTAAACATTAATTATTTATTTTACATGAATAATTGGTTTCATTTCTATGATTTCCAATATTTTTCCTAAAATTCTTAATTCTTTTTCTAGATGCATCCAATATTCGGCGATCGAGATTATTTGGAAGAGCAGCATATTTTGATTGCTATTCGAACAAGGGATGGTGATCATGAATCCTATGGTGAGTTATCAAGTTTTACTTACTGTCCAAACTCATTACATATTAACATTTTGTCTTTCACATTTTTTGCACTTAATTTTTAGTAATAGTAGTAGCAGTAATTATGTCTTTGAATAGTAGTATTACTAATATTTATTTGTGCTAGTAATAATAGTTAACTAACATTCATAAATGGAGTAATTGTTAGTTGGAGTATTCATAGGAAGAGTATTTATTAGTACAGGTTGAGAATCCTTTATACAAAATTCTTGAGACTGGAAATGCTTCAGTTTCTTCTTTTTTTTTTTTCTTTTGAATAGGAGCTCTTTAATTTGTATATCAGTCAGTTATGTGCCATGTGTGATACACACTTAGGCAATCATGTATTTTTCTATATATGACTGACGAGGCAGATTATTTTCACGCAGTAGGTTGCCATTTCTTTCTGCGGTAGACAAGTTACCATCCAAAGCTATAGAACCCAGTCTGTCCTGCTATTTACTCATAGCTGGGCAGTGGAGAAGAAGAGGATTCATACCCTTTCCCAAGGGTATTAGCACATAAGTGAATGTAATGGATACAACTGAAATTCGAACTTGGCTCTCTGATTCCTCAATATGAGCCGCTATCCATTACTCCACCATGCCTCCCCTTGTATATAGCATCTATAATATGCGGTAGTTTGGGAATGGAACCCAAGAATAAACACAATGTCACTTTACATTTTATAACACAGCTTCCGCCTGCCAATTACATCTAGCATGAGACAGCCTGTCGTCTCTGAGTGTTGACTCTAATGTTCACTTTTATATTTATATTTGCATACGCTCTGTCTCTGATATTAAGCACGTTATCCCATAAATATAGCACACCTTAAAACTATATTTCTTCATATATATATATATATATATATATATATATATATATATATATATACTGAAGGTAGTTTATATAAAATTTAATAAATTTTGTGTACCTATAGATATGGGGAATGATGTTAGTCCTGTAATACTCACACAGATTTTTAAGTGGTAAGATTTCACATAATAATAATGTTCTGTACTTTCTGTACGTGTAAAAAAAAAAAAAACATGCTCACTACTTACAAAAAATATATAAATGCAGGACTTTTTGACATTTTGAATAATATCTTTACTAAGACTGAAACTGGTAAGTAATCCACAAATGAAGGATTGATACTGTGACAGTTACTAAGAAAAAACTATCACCTATGTAGCTGGGTTGAGGTACTCTCACCTAGGGCAGATGAGGTCACTTACAACAGCTGCCCATCACCTAGGAACCTTCCCAGTATTTTCTGAAATTTTAATTTCTGGCAAGTCATGTCAATACCTGAAAAACTTTTGGATTTGAGAATTTCAGGTAAAGGATACTCAACTTGCTTTAGTAATTAGTAGTCACAGCTGAATTTTTTTTTAAAATCATTTCACCCCAAGCGAAGCAAAAAGTCACTAAGACACAGTGTGTGAGAAAATATGAGAAAAAGAAAAATATTATTAAGGAGAGAGAACAATAAAAGAACAGGAATTGAGAAGAAAGGAGATAATGACAGGCATTGCATTTAAATTTTTGAAGAACAAGAAAATTTAACAGAATTGCCTAAATAAGTAAAAATAATCTTTTTAATTAGATTTTTTTAAAAATGTACTGAATTAATTAAACAAAAAATAGTAAGTTAGCTAAATAAATTTATCATTATTAATACAAACATTAAATAGTCCTGGGTATTATGATAAACTACATTTGGCAGCAAGGCCTTTAACCATAAGATTAGAGGTATTGAGGAGCATGGAACCACCTCTTAATTACTGTTGTTCCAAGGTCCATCTTGACCTGGAGTGCTAGCACCTGTTAGGGTCCCAGCTATGGGCAAATAGTGAACCCCAAAACAAAAACAAAACAAAACACTATGGAAGTATAAAAATATAATTTTAAAGTAAAAATACCAGCAATATATTTTTATATAAAAAAAAAAATGAATAACAGTACATATTTATAATAAATTGACCGGCAATACATTTTATCTCCAATACTTGAAGGTATACAATTGTGTATTTAACCCATAGCTGAAGGGAGAAGAGATGGATTCATACTATTTACAAGGGTATTTGCATAATTGTATACCTACAAGTAGAGATAAAATATATTGCTGGTCAATTTATTATAAATTTGTAAGTAAGACTTGTATTACAAAAGCCTTATTACCTCGAAAAAGAAAATAAAATTGCATAAAAAGATTTAGACTTCGGCATTAAATAACCCATAATAGTTGATACACTGCTAAACAAAAACAACTAACATGAAAGAACTCTTTCATGACATTAATCCGTATAATATCCTATGTTTTCTTAAATCAAACTGTATTCCAAAATATCAACAAAACTACTATATAAAACATATGTCACCATCTCTAGTAATTATGTCTGTACAAACATCTATATGTACAGAAGCTGAGTATCATCTACAATGTTTACATTGTTTGGACTGTTGCCCTCATCTTTATTGCCATATTCACAACATCCCCAAGGACACATGCGTTGGTTGAAGTAATCCAGTGACTTGACCCAGAGAGTTGTGACTTCAATACCTGGCCACAGGTGAGAAAAACTTGGAGAGTTAAGTTAATGGGATATCCAGAAAAGGCATGGCACATGGAACTAGAACAATCTACCCTGGTGGACAAAGTAAAGGGTTCAGCTCAAAATTCCAATGTATATCAACTGAAGAAGACCATAGCATACAACAGCCGAAATGTTGTGAATATGACAATAAAGACGAGGACAAAAGTCCAAACAATATAAATACCTCATCTCAGATATATAGACAGATATCATCTACCATGTATTCAACTGTGAAAGTAGAATAACATATATCATATTTTTATTACTTCAAAGCTCCCAAGAAAATTAAATTTCAGCATTAAATGACACATGAGTTGATATGCTGTTAATTAAATAATCAAATCAGTCATCAAACATTAGAAAATTATGTACTTCTGTTGCAGAGTAGGAAATTCAAGTGGACTTAGCATAAGAAAAGAAACTTAAAAAAATAGATGTCTGACTGAAAATATTTATACATAAATTTTATAGCAGTAAGAGAAGTTCTGTTACAACTTTTCTTTGTAGGATGGGTATTCAGCTAGTTGTAATAAAATGCAATAGAAATACAGTTATGCTTCAATTTCAGGCGAGTGTGTTGTAACACTGAAGGATATGTACTCCGTACAACCTGAACCCTTTGAATACATGTTAACTCACCTGGGAGATGAGACAGGGGTTATAAGGTAAGAATAACTTTTGGTTGTTTGTTTCTTACTCTATACTTATATATTATACAATAACAACAAAAAACTACTTCTGATCCACTTATTATATATCTACCTTGTCTTTTAAATACTATTGATTAATAGAAACACAAACAAATTTAATAGGAGTAGATAGGTTTGCCTATCATCTCGTTCTGACTCCTCCCAGGTTTTTGTTCATCATGTGTTTCTTGTTTAAGATTGGATTTCCAGTTCCTTCTAAAAGTCTACTTCAGCTCTATACTCCTAATGCTTACCCTTTCCTATGCTCATATAACTCTGAACAGTAACTCTCTACCTTGAGTGGCTCTTAGGCCTTGTAGTGGGTGACCATTAGAAAAAAAAAATTTTAAATAGTAAATGTGAATCTTAATATTTTCATAAAATTTTGATCAGCTTAAAAGTTGCAGATAACTGGAGCTTTGAATACAACCTTTGTACATGCAATTAAAATTAATATTTTGAATACAAGGTTGGCTTAATGTGTACTTTAATGTTTTTTCCTAGTACATTAGGTTAATTTTATTTCATTAATACAAAGAAGTTAACAAAGATATGAGTTTTCTTCTCTAACAGCTGCTAACAGAAATTAATCATTTTGTCTTGCCTTCAAAGCTTGTTCAAAGAAAATCTGGAGAAATGGTACTTTCAGGTGTTGTTGAATACCAAAAATCATACATGTGTCATATCAATGTTGATGGGCCTGAAAATCACCATCACCTATAAATTGTCATTTTTAAATCTGTTATCTTTTTAGGGGCAAAATGCATATCTATACTCCTGAAAGTGCTCCAAGACGGAGGTCTTCGAAGAAAGTTTATGGTAAGAAATTACCTTCTTTTTTTTACTCTTTTTTTTTTTTCACTTTTTTAAGTTATTGATTTTAAAATGGATAAAGGGAAGGATTTTTTCTTTACTCAATACATTACAGAAGAAAAATACATCTTACAAATGTTTTTCTCTTGTTTTTATGTGCGCACACACACACACACACACACACACACACACACACACACACACACTTACAAGTAATGCTTTTTAGCAGTTTAATCTTCTGTTTAAGTTTCTGAAGATTATGCAATTAATGAAGAAAGCTTGTAAACAAAGAATAGCTTTTCAAAGGTTGTCTTAGACTTTAGTTTTGTTCATATATAAAAATACTGTTACATTAAGATAATTCTTCTGAATAGCTTACTTTATACAGGTTGCAACAGAAATATCTCCCATATATACCTCCCACATAATGGTAAGACGTTTGTGGCAATGGTGTTTTCATTTAGCTAATGTTTACCATTATGTGTGAGGTATTTCTGCTGCACAAGTCCAAAAACATTATGAAGAAAAAAAGTAATTAAATAAAGCTTTTGCCATATGGTAAAGTCAAAGTATTAACCACTGTCTGTGTCTTAAGTCTAAATATCTTAAAACTCCAGATAAAATATCCCAAGGCCAGCATTATATGAAGAATGTCAAAACATATGGTATGTAGATTTCATACACAGCTTGAATGTATTTTCATCTCTTACAGCCCCTCTCTGTTTCCTGACAACTTTGCTGAATGCATCTGTGAAGACTTTCCCCACCTTTTGTCTCTCTCTATTCTTTCCTTACAGTATGCTGTATTAATCATCTCCCTGCCAGCAATGGTTACAGCCATTTTTAGTTATGCAAAATCTCTGTCACTTTAGCCTTTACATTTAAATTTAGCATTTTTTTTCTATTAAGAGAATAGAAATTCATATGTTAAGTCCATAGATGGAAATATAATCAGAAAAAAAATGTTTTAGTAAATAAAGAGCACATCAATATAATGGCCACTTGTATAACTCTACATAAATAAAGAATACAAGAGGTGGACCCAGGTTAAAGAAAGCAATCTTTCATGTTGGCTGCTGTAAAAAAACTGAATTTGACTGTTGCTATTGTCACTGTATGGAGTGACATCACTAAGTGGCCCTCACATGACCAATGTGACTTATTTCCACCAAAGGGAGATAATCGTATTCTGTTTCCCTACACAACTTAGGTATAAACTCCCTCGAAATTATAACCTTACTAATAAGAAAAATTAAAAAATCGCACATTATATTTAATTAAAAATTTGTTTTTAATTCAGGTTTTTTTTAACTATTTTATTCTTCTTTTGAAATACATAAGTATAAATAATTTTTCATGTAAATATTTCATTGAATGAAAAATGTTATAGTTTTGTAATTATTTGTTTCTTTGACAAAATCTAAGTTGTTCTAGGGGCAAGTAACTCTTCCTTGGCAGACTAAAAGTGAAACAGTTTGAGCTTTACAATTCTTATATCTAACCTCTGTTTCTTATTTAATGCTTGCCCTCTTTCTTAAGAACCCCTCGAAGCATGTGGACAAGAAAGTTTACCTATGTTTTTGTCCATAGGCTTCTTAAGAAAACCAAAGGAGAGTCTTGTTCTCTATATTTGTCAGTTTCAATGGAAACTTTCTATTAAAGGAAATGATGCTCAGTGCTGCATGACCCATGTAATATGTGCCAGATATAGAAAAGTTTTTTAAGACCTAATGTTAACACAGTGACAAAAGAAAAAAAATTGAATTGCTAAATGTTCTTTGTTAATCCCTATTCTGCCATTTCCTTGTATTTACTCATTAAAGATGATCTTCATTTGCATCTGCAGGTTTTTTATATATCATACAATAAGATAAGAACAGTCTCATTGACTTATTATTGTTGATGCATAGGAAAACTTAATAATACAAAAGGAAATGCTGCTTGGTGCTATATGACTTATTTAGATATTGGTTTGCTAGGATACATTCATTTTTTTAATTATTATTATTGAGATGCAGACAAGAATGCATTGTTTTCCTTTTTTCTTTTTAAAGAGGATTCGACAAATTTGCTTACTGAATTATTTCTTTGCTTACCATAATCTTCATTGAAGACCATGCAGAATCAGGTGATCAATAGTTATTGATTGCCTATCTTCAGATTTATAAGGCTGACAAGATATGACAATTTTTTTTCATATAAAATTTCACAGTAATTTTAAGTATTAGTTATTTTTGTGTGTGTGAAGGGTTGGTATTTGTGAACACAACTTTGACCTTCATTGAAATAAGTTGATTATGCATAGTGTGTGGCCATGGTTAAATGCAAATAAATGATAGAACTTCCCAACCAACAGAATTGACAAAGTTTGCAATAAACAATAACAAGAAAAAGACAAGGCAAAAATAGTATAAAGTAAGCAAACTATATATTCAAGGCAAATTAACAGTAATAAGGCAAAACAACAGTAATATTGTAAAACGTTTACAAGCTAAGAATTGGGATTCACACACAAGAACAAATTTGGATAAGTGAATGTAACGTTCTGTCTTCAAGACAGACTGAGTCAGATGACACTGACAAGTGGCCTATCTTATTGGCTAGGAAGAAATCCCAGCATGCATTTGTGTGCTTCTGCCTATAAATTGGGAGAGGAAAATGTTTTACAGTCCAGGATTAGAACCAACAGATTAAAATTTAATCCAAGCTGCAACCTTTAATTCCAATTTTGGTTGAAGACATGCAAATAAATATCTTATCTTTAAAGACAGTTTGGCATTGTCTGAAATAATTGGTATACAAACTTTAAAAATGAGCATTTGTTTCTATGTATAGTTAAGTACTTCAATTTTCTCCTGAGAATTCTGAGCTGAAATTAGCCAATTAATATATTCATTGCCACCATGGATATTTGAATGCTTATGATTCAGCACTGAAATGTTCTTGGTCAAACCCACTTCCCAAAATCAATATTATGTTAATGAGACATCAGGATTATGATTTTGGGAAGTGAGTTAGAACAAATGTTTATGGCACTGCTTCATATATCATGTCATTGATGTTTTTCTTAGAGTTACTATTAGAAGGTGCTATAAAAAATTAAATTCACTAACATATTCATTGCTATCTTTGATGTAAGTGAACCACATTTTTGTAACTATTATAAATTATATAATTAAAAATAAAATAAACATATCCATTATAAGCATATTCATTGGATATCTGAACTCTTACATAATACTGTCCATGTTAAGCTTATGGTGACATCATATTGAAACACCCGTTCCCATGTGATCAACAAAATTAAGCAACTATGAGCTTGGTCAGTACCTAGATGGGTGACCACTTGGGAATACCAGGTGCTGTAAACTTGGATGTGAGGGTGGTGAAATGGATAATGACACATAATTATTAATTGGAGATCCAAGTTACAATTCCAGTTGGGTTTGTTATATTCACTTGCACACAAATACCCTTGGAAAAGGTATGAATGTACCACATCTCCCCCAGCTATAGATTAATTAGTAAGACTTGTATCACTAAACCATTATTATCTCCAAAAAAATAAATAAATAAAATTGCATATAAAATATTTAGATTTTGGCATTAAATAACCCATAGAGGTGTTGATATGCTGCTAAATAAAAGCAAGCAACCCACTGTCTGTGTTATTGGTTGTTACCATTAGAAATTGCTATATAAGGCTAGGCTTTTATTTTGGTAAATAAATTTGAATTTACTGAATTATAAAGAATGATATGAGTATACTCTTTTTTTTCCTGCCTCATGCAATGGTACACATTTGTGCATTGTGTGAATTTTCTTTTACCTGTAAGCAACTCTAGAAATCAAAGAAAATAACACTGAGAAGGTTGTTATTATTTATAGAAATAATTAAAAAAAATGCAATTTATGCACATATGCATCAGAGGTAATATGCTACAAGAGAAACATGTATGACAGTAAATGTGCTAACCATCAATGATTTCCTTTTTCTTTCTCTGCTTAGCCATGAATTAGATAAGCTGCTTCATTCACTAAAATGCTTTATTGATTACTCTCTTCAGGAAATATGTAATACAAATCCTTTAATTTCAACATATGACTTAATTCTTTTGTTTTACAATGTTTCTTCTTAATGGATAAACCTGAATGAATGGCCTGCTTACTCACCACAAAAAAAGCATAAAAATGGACAAAATGACATTTTTATGAGGACCAGTCAGAAAGTAATGCCTGTCATAATTAATAAAAAGAAAGAAAGCAAATGTGGACTTTTGTGCCTGCAAAAAAAACAAAAAACGAAGACTCCAAAGGATAGATTTTCAATTGACGCTGTTATTATTTTATTTCCCTTCTCTCTTCAGCAATGTTTACTTTAAAAAGTGATGCTTAGAAATGCAATAAAACCTAAAAATATGATGAAAATGAATTTATACATTTTTTGTTCTTGGCAATTTTCAACAAAAATATTAAACACTTTAGTTATTAGATTTTTTATTGACAAGAATAATTTTATATTTATACCATTCAAAAAACTAATACAATGCAATATTTAACATTTACCAATTTATAAAGGAATAAATATAAAAACAATTTTTTTATTCAAAAATTTATAAACATTTACTAAATTATTAAAATATGTGAACCAACTTTTTATTATTTACCATTTTATAAAGTTTGAATCAATTGGAAATTAGCTGATGTTTTGCCAATCACTCCAATAAACAATCTAATAAATAAATATTGTAAATAAACAAACTAATAAATAAATAGTGTTTATTATTTTTGTTGTCAGTTCTCAAGAACAAAGAAAATGTATAAATTCACTTTCATATAGATTTTATTCCACTTCTAATCATCACTTTTTAAAGCAATAAACATTGCTTAGGAGTGAAGAATAATAATAGCAATGTCAACAGAAAAAAATGTCATTTTGAATCTCCATATTTTTGTGGACATGAAGGTCCAAATTTGCTATGAATTGTAAGCTATAAACCATAAAGTGTATAGGAATTTTATGAAAATTTGTGGAGTTATCTTCTCTTTTCTTATAATCCTTTTTCCAAAATGGTTGTTCCTCTGGATGCACATATAAAGCAAAGAGTTATCAATGAGTGGTTTATAATGCAACTATGCTGAGCAGACCTTAGTTAAAGTTTCTTGCAGAGAGAGTGTTATGTAGCATTATCAACAGTCTGAACAAGGCTATAATTTGTTGCCCTGAATTTTTTTTTTTCTTTTGACTTCATGTTAGCACAATTATTGATAGCTGCTTTTGAGTTCCATCTCCTAATTTCACTCAAAAAAAAAAATATGTTTGTTATGGAATAGTTTTCAAGCACTTTCCAAGGGTGCTACATGCTATTATTGCCTCCCCAGACCGGGACTAGGTATCTATAAAATTTCCTTTTGACAAATTGACTATAGTGAAAATTGACCCAGGTCTTAATGGTTAGAAAGTGAACAAAATAAACCACTCAGCCACATGCCCAATAAGGAAATGGATTAATGGTAATCAGCTCAATAGCAAGCAATCTGCTGTTAATGAGAATAAGATCAAACAGCTGATGCTCTCATTTCAGGTGACAGATCATTTTTGCAAAACTAAAAAAGACTTCAGGTGAGCTATGGTAGTGTTTGCAGTTTTAGTGCAGTCTATTGGTTGTTCAAATGTCTGTGCATAATGCATTCCTAGAATTCTGAAACTCTATGAAGGAGAATTTGGTTGGTGGCTGTTTAAGAACTTCTGGAATTGAACAATATGTGGATAGCACCTTCCTAAGCAGAATAGTCACAAGAAATAAAATGAACTAGAAAGTCAAAGACTTTCCACCTAGACTTGACTAGAAAGATGTTTAAGGCAGTACACTCTGCAGGAAAAGTGATAGCCACTCTTTTGGCATTGGAAGGGAGTTATACTGTTAGAGATTCTGCACAATAGTACTAATAACAGTTCTGAATACATTGTAAAAACTCACAGCATGTCTTCTTAGATGAAATTTGAAGATGAATGATGTACTTTTATATGACAGTATAAGACTTCACAATAGCTTAAAGACCAGACATCCAATCACAGCACACAACTGAACTCATCTACCTTACAGTTTTTATCAGGCACCTTCAAACTTTCATTCATCTGTTTTGATATGCAAGAGACACTAAGAGAACAGCAGTTCTCTAATGATGATGGAATGAAATTACTCATGGTTAAGGCAGCAAACAAGAGGTTTCTCTCAGGTGTGTATACATACTTTCATTCAAAAGTGGAATACCATCATTGAGAAAGAAGGAAATTGCTTAGTATTAGATTTGGAATCCTGAAAGTTTTGTGTTCTTTTTGGTAGGCTTTGTGTTCTTTTACTATCCATTGTAATTAAAGATAAACAGGTATTACTTTTTGACCAATCATCCTATAATACTATTCTGACTTTTGTATAGATTCCACTTTGCAAATCAAATATTTTAATGCTTATGACTATATCAATTAATCGATTTGAGTGTTTATTAAAGAAAAAAAATAATAGTTATCAAAAAAATGCTTGAATAATCATATCTGAAGTTGCTTAGAGAAACTATTTTGTATGCTTTTATAATGTTCTGATTGCCATTATTCTGTGAAAAATCCTGAAATTTTACTTTACATTATTTGTTGTTTTTTTTTAGACATTAGACAATTGAATCCTTTCCTCACACACTTGATATTGTCGCACAAAGTATGTGAAGGAGGCATTCAATGTCACAACAATATTTGCAGTATTAATAACTCTACTTAAAGTTTTAAAATACTACTGGATTTTCACTTTCATATATTTAAAAAATATGATTGCTTATAACTTGTCCTTTTACACTTTTCATGTGAAAATTTCTCCATATAGTTTTATAAAGATTGTTTTTCATCATTTTCAAAAGAATTATCAATGCTTTCTGTCTGAATTTCTGGTTATGAGAAGTTATCATTATTTACACTGTTTACATTTGGACTATTGTCCTTGTTTTGTTGTTGTTATCACAATATTTTGGCCTTCCTCGGGTGTTTATTGATCTAGGTAACCTACAGGGGATCATGAACCCTTTATTTAATCTATGAGGATAGACTGTTCTCGTTCCACTACTCATGTCTAGGGATATCATCTAGTTCCTATTTTTAGTACTGTTCAATTATTTCTTGTCCATTTCCACTAAGTGCAAGTACACAATGCCTGACCTAGAGATTGAACCATGTCACCAAATTCAACATTTTTATCCTCTTAGTCATTGGGACAATTTGCAGTATTGAACTTAGAGTTTTAAACCTAACTTGGCTGCTGATTAGGTTGTGCTGCTGTCTGTCATGTTTTAATTGCTGCTGCTGCTGCAGACTAGCTTTCTACACCTGAAGAAGGCCAGAGAGCACAACTGCCAAAATGTTGTGATAACAGCATCAGAGATAAGGACAATAGTCCAAAAATAAATAGTTTAAATAAATGTTAATGCTATTACAAAATTTAGTAACATTTATTATACAATATATCAGAAAAATGATTAAAGCCTTCAGAACCAGTCTTTTATTTATGGACCCCATAAACAGAATAGAACAGCTGGGCATTTACCACAGAATAACATCACTAGAAAGCAGATGTTAATCAGAGAAATGTGTGGAGAACAAAGTAAAGACAAGGAAAAATATTGTAAAATGGGTATGTCATAAAATTAGTGTCATTTTGACTTGTAGGTAAAGTAGAAAAAATAACTTCCTTTGGTGTAGAATGTGTTAATTTTGTCACAAATCTTTACTAACATTTATTGTTTAATGCACCATAAAAAAATAAATAAAATCACCTTTCCTTTGTGAATGTTGATTTGTTTGTACATTTTGTTTTCTTTCCTTTAGGAAGATACAAAAGTACAATTTTTTAAAAGACAGTGCTTCAGTTAGATTTTTTTTCTTTTAATTTGTTTTGGTTTTTGATGTTTATATCTAATGTTTATCTTTTAAAATATTCTAAAAATTGTGACCTCTTTTTTATCTCCAAGTCTGAATCTATTTTTGCTTTGTTTATCAAGTATAAAAAAAAATGTTGGAATCCATTAAAATCTATTTTATTCATATTAATGTTCTTACTGAAGAACTTAGTTTCTCAACATCTGTATTAACAATTTCTTTACCTAACAGCACATGGAAAATTTCCACTCACAATAATGACCTTTGATCCTCATCATTATTCAGTCTTTGACTTTTTTCTTTTAATTTTATTACAATTCTAATCCACTATTTTTATGTTCTCTTTCAAAAATGATGTATTTTTATTTGTTTTGAAGAATTCTGTTCACAAATTTATATTCTAATGATCCAATTTACCATATATACTCAAGTATAGTGGAAATT